TAGTTAGCGTAAATAAAAGAGAGTTAATTATTTAATATAAACCATATTAAAGATATTTTAGAGGAAAACGCATATGAAGATTGGGGATTTAAGCCCTGTAAAGTGACATAAATGAGGATAAGACCTAAATGATATTAAAGACCACTTAATTATACAATGTTACACCGAGTTTAATCAAAATCGTTAAAGCCGTTATTGAGAAAATTGTAAAAATGTGTTTTACCATTGATATAAAGTGGCATTACAAAGTGGTACCGGTTAGCCTATTTTAAGGAAAAAGTAGCTGTAACATCTAAGCTTGGGCGGGAGGAGAAAGGGGCTTTCGGGCTGAAGCCCTCCAAAATGGTAAAATATGACCATATTTTATGGAAAAAAATTATCACTTGAAGTGTAATTGTTCTTGTAATTATATTTAAAAGGACTTTAAGAATCACTACAACACCATTTCATATAGGTAGTTAGTTTCTTTCTTTTTATCCAAAGTAATTATCGTTATTTCTATGAAAAAAAGCTTTTGGGCTGAAGCCCTCCTCCCCAAAAGTTAAATCTTGGTTCCGCTAGTGCATCTCAGGCATATACGTATCTTAAATACGAAGTGTCAGTTTCGTAAGACTTTTCATTTTTGAGCTATACTGTTCACATACACACACACACACACACCATTTTCGGGACTCGGTTATTTCGTTACTTTTCCTTACTATATATTACATATATAGGTAAGTGAAAGTAAAAGTGGTCAATTGCCAGATCCTGACATATATTATATTGGAGTGTTCAAGTTCTGATGATAAATGTTTATTTTATATATAACTGAGAGTTCCTGAAATGGCTTTACTTATAAAGTTTGGAGAACTAAAAAGTATCTAATTTGAATCTTATCACAATCAATAATAGAAAAGTAAATCATTCCTACCATATTACATTCATAAATGTAATTTTTTTATGCCGAGATACATAAGTTGAATAAAGAATAGAAACTAAAGTAAAGGAATAATTAACTATTTCTTTCAGTGACCTTTGGAAGAAACTATCTTTTTATCACAGCAGATTACAAAGATAGATTTAAAAGTGCCATGAAAATTCGTTTTTGCAATGAAGATGGGCACTGAAATGTTACTTAATACAGCAAAGAAAATTGAACCGTATTCTCGGGAATCTTTTAAGAAAGGTGTATACCAAGTTTCTGAAAATCAGTTGATTTACAGCACATAATAGTATTACTATTCTTTGAAATCGTTCAAAAGGTGATGTCCTGCAAATCAAACATGGCTTCTTGAGTTTATTTTTACAGCTTTTTAAGTGCTCCATCTCTATCTATATTTATAGAAAAAGCTGTATAAAGATATAGCTGTAAAAAATAAAAAGCTGTATAAGCAGAAGACTCAAGAGCCTAGCTACTGCAATTCAGAAAATATGGGAGGAGAAAAGGATACCAGAGGCTTAGAACATGGTCCTAATCGGACCTATTCCCTAAAGAAATGCTCTAAGTAAATGTGTAACAATTATAGAGGCATAGCATTCCTTCCTGTTGCCTACAAGATAATGATCAATATCTTAATAATTTGGATACATCCATAATATGAAAACCAGGAGACTACCAAGCTGTATTCCGAAGAGGAAGGAGCAGGCTGAACCAGATCTTTAAACTAAAACAAGTACAAAAAAAAAAAAAAAGATAGGAAGTAGCTCAGGATTTGAATGTCTAATTTGTCAATTTCAAAGCTCCTTATGATTCTGTGCACAGAACAAATCCCTAAGGCTATTGATATTTTTTAAAAAATCATAAGATCTTGCACTAAAGGTAAAGCCACATTGCATTCATATACAAACTTAAAAAAATATTTGAGCTAACTGTAACCTTAATCACTCAGTTTTCAATTCTTTACTAGATCTTAGAAGTAAGTTGTGATATGTGAGTGGTTTTATCCATCTCCAATAAATATATAACACATAGAATAATTGATGCCCACTTCTTAAAAAAGTGAAAAAGGCGAGAAAAACGACATTTCAATCTATTTATATATATATTTTCAATAATTTATACATGTATTACATACTTATAAATATAAAAGTATAATCAATACCTCACAACAATAAAATAATAAATATAATATAATATAAACATATATGGATAGCATAAAATTAAATATTGCTTTGCATGCTTTATGCACACTAAATATATATATAAAACTTTGGTTAATGTAGTTTAAACAGATAATACATCTTTCAAATAATACATCTTACAACTTAATATAACTACATGAGAATTTATTGAATCAAATTATAAAGTATACTTTTGCCAACTTTGTTACATGAGCCTTCTTATAAAAATAATATTTCTCAAAACACTATAGAAAATATTTGAGTATTTAGTACTCGGAAGTTATTAAATATAATAAACCAAGAATAAAAAAAAAATAAAAAAAATCGTTATTTCTTCAAAAATTTTATCAACAAGAGATGAAAAATGTTTTATGATACTTGATGAAAGTTTGAAAGCTTCCGAATTGATTACATATTGGAAGAGTTAAAAGTTATTAGATGAACAGCATTGATAAACAAATTGATGTGTGCTTAAATAAAAAAAAACTTGGAAGTACTTTATTATTAAAAGATTGAGCTTTTCAATTGAATCTGTCTGTTATTTGTTTGGAGCTCACAATAATTATAGAATTTCCAATTTTTTCTATGTAAGGGAAACTGCTCTTTTATCTTGCTTGAATTACCCACAGAAAAGTGATATTCAGTATAATATAAGAATGTAATAATTTAAAATATATTAAATAAATAAATAATAAATTTATAGGTAAACTGTTAAAACACAGGCCATTTTACACTGCTAATTGCTTAAAGTGAAAGAGAAAGAATTTTTTTTTTTTTTTTTAACATTTGTCTTTGAAAATAGCTTTTATATACCTTTCCTAAATATATAGATATAAGTAAATATTTTATAAACCTTACTAAAAAGCTGTTCTAATAATATGAAAGTAATATTTAAATTGATTATTAATAACAAGTGGTTAACTTAAATTCTTTCAATTCTTGAAATAGAGATATTTTAGGTGATTATTAGCATTAGCATACAAATATAATTTATAAAAATCAAATTCATTTCCAAAGCTGGCTAAAAAAATAATCTTATAATTATAAAATGATTTATTACAGTTAAAATACTTTCTTTACAAATAGGAACTCATTTATTTGAAATAAAATGAGTCTTTACTAATTATGATTACTTTCTTATTTATGAAACAATGAATAGAAAACTACAAACTATCAACGGTCAATATGTTTAAAAATAATGTTTCCTATCGAATATTACATTCCACATATGAGACAGTGTATATATATTTATATTGATATAAACGCAGTGATATTAGATTATAAAAAATATACAATTTCACCAGTAGTGTCTGAGGTTTAGTGCAACAAACTAAGTGATGCGAAAAACTGAAATATTTTATAAAATTTGTTTTAAAGAAGAAAGGCGAACCACAAAACCAAGTTAGTAACATGAACTAATCAGACTCGTTGACTATTATCGGCTAATTGTGGAAGTTAGTTTAGCCCTGATCGGTAATGTCTAATTTTATTTTGTAACAAAGCTCCAAAATGAATCTTGACAAAACATGACTAGAATAGATTGATTACTTGTGGTAATAATAATCTGTCCTTCTGATACTTGAAGAACATAAAAAGAAATAAAATTTAAAAGAGCACCATTTGAAAATGTGAGTTTACTTGATGTAGTTATAAGGAAGGAGTTTACTTGATGTAGTTATAAGGAAGGTAAATATTTTGTATATTATTAAAGTTCACTGTATAGAGTCAAATTTAAAAAAAAAAGAAACTTGAAATAAATATCTATATTTTTTCTTTGTCTTAAAACTAAGTTTTTAGTAATTCATTATCTCTATGTTTACATAAACATAGGTAATTTATATTACCTAATGAAGTATTATCTACAGTAACTGTATCTACAGTAAATATAGTAAAATATTCAAAATGAATATATATCTCGAAATCCATTTCAGATTTGATTATTGACAAATTCATAAACATTGATGCTATACATTTTTTTTTTTAATCAATGGGTTATTAGTACAAATAATATTAATGAAGTTTGATTACATTTTCTCTAGTAATATAAAAATTATTAATCTGCTTAAACATCAAATGTGAGCTTAATTAGGCATCACTTTTATAAGAAAAAAAATGAGCAAAGATGGAAATCGTGAGCAATAAGGTAAACCATTTTTACCTTCGGAAGCAACAATGTTTATTATCCCCTGTAAAACTACACAACCTTCAATAATGGCTAATAATAGTTTTGGAAGATGAAAGAAATGGATCTTTGTAAATATCATGAAAAATATTTTTATTTTTGTTGAAGAATTCTGACTATAACTCAGTTTTTTCCTGAGTACCATCTTTTCTACACTTCCAAAAAGCACAGAAAATTTATGCTCCTAATTATTTGATGAAGAATCAGAAAAGCAGCTAGTGACTGAACTATGCTAAAGTCTTTATAAAAAGCTCCAATAAAGTATCTAATCAACAATTTAATTATAATCCAATAAAAAGTTGGATGTTCTATATTAACTAGATGTCATGTAAATTACTAACAGAATCTCTACATTCTAATATTAAATTTCAAAAATTTTGACAAAAATATCCCCCAGTCTCACAGCCTAGGTTGAATTCTTAGCACGACATAAAGCTGGCCCCATTCTCAACTGAACTACGAAAGTCAATAATTTGAGTACAACTTTTTTTAAATTTCATGGATCATACAGTTCTTTGGCTTTTTAAAATTCAAAGCATGGTAATACAAGATTAGTAAAATAGTAACTAGAAAGAATGTTGATTAGTTTTTGTCTTAATAAAGAGACAATTAAAGCTTAATATTGTGGAATAATTCAAAATATTCTCAGCCTGGTAATTCTCTCTCCAATATTACCATGCCAAATTATAAATCATTGTTCTGGAACTTAAATAGTTCATTTGATGTTGCAGCAAAAATCATAGTTAGGAGGATCAGCTGGGACAGCTGGTGGGTCCTCAGGAATATCGATCCCTTCGGCATCTAGTAGGCGCAGCTTGATGTCCATCGAAAGTAATGTTTCCAAGTCATTTTCGGTTTCCTTACTGACCATCTTATTACCTAAAAGGAATTGATAGAAAGCGATAATTTAAAAAAAAAGAAGAAGTTAATTCTCAGATTGTGGTAAAATAATCGACAACTAAAACTATAATGTACTGTTATTAAAAGATTCCAAATATTTTACCCAGAAGTGCATTGATTCCATCTGTCCAGTAGTCAAAAACTTGTTCATCAGGGGCCACGAAATCGAGAGATTGAACTTCAACTGAATCAAGTGTTAAAGAAAATGCAAGCTGATGAGTTGTTTTTCTCCCTCTAGAAAATAATCATTTTATATATAAATGTTTATTTCCAATCGTTACTATTTTTATTTTATTTTAGTATTTGCTAAATTAAAAATTTGGTCCACCATAGTCCTTACTTTTCTAAATACTGCTTAGTGGTCCCCTATAGCATTTTTAAAGTAAGAACCTATTCATAAAAGGAAGTATGAAGCCTATTATTAATCAAATTTTGATTGTTTCTTCACTATTACATAGATTTAACGAGTACTCCATACCATACTCTGAGACCATTTCTCCGCATATTAGTTATGTTATTTTCTCAATGTCGCAAGAGAAAAATAGCAAACATTTAACGAAGTAGCCTAGCATAAAACAACAGTCTTGAAAAATGAATAAAAATATACAAAATTGCAGACAAACCTGGCATCTTTCATATGAGGACACTCTTTACCAGTAACGAGAGCCTTTATGTCAATAACAGCAAGTTTATTTGGAAGCTGCTCGAATGTTGGTGTCATTTTCTCATCACAATCTCCATAATGAAATACTTTGTGCGAAGGAGACAAACGAACATACCAAAACTTATCTTTGATTCTCTAAAAGATGAAATTAAAAAAATATATGAAATTCAAATAGATAGGAATGATAATTTTAAATAAATTGAAAATTTAACCATACAGACATTAAATTCATATAGAAAAAATAAAAAGTTTGGAAGTGATGAATTCATTCAATATGATAGAATGAAATAGGAACCAAACAAAGCGGGATGTAGATCACAAGAAAAATGTTACAGGAGTAAAAGTATCTCAATTATTTAAACAGCCATGTTAATTTGTTGTGCTGGATGAAATTGGAACAAGAGAACTAATGAATAAAGGTCTAGTATGGATAAAGGTTGACTGAATCATAAAATGGAATACTGTATTAAGAAAATGATCTAAATTTAGATTTGAGCTTTGGAGCTCTACAAAATCATCAAATTCTTCCCGTATCCAATCCTCAATATGCAAAATCCTCCATAAAATCCTTAATGCTATTTATTATGTCACAAATAAAATTAATCCATAGTTTGTTAACTCTTATAATTAGTATGGTAATATGATCTTTACCTGTCCTCTTTGTGAATATTTAGTAAATCTAGTGCCTTCAACCAGGAAACCAAGCCTTTGCTGTTTTATTAGATCTAGGATGTCAGGAGTTATCATTTCTTTGAGCTCGACAATAGGTCGTGCGTGTGATTCCCACTCTTCGCGGGAAGTTCTTTCTTGTTGCCAAAGATTTGTGATCTCACTGTAAGTGAGAAAAAAGAGTTTTGCCCTAAATTTATCAAGAGCACTGGGCTGAGAAGCAAGAGCCCTAGTTATCTGTTCCCGTACGACACTAAACACCTAAAAATGAAAAGTCTGTAGAGAGGAAGTAAAAAAAAAAAAGCCAGTGTTAAAATTAATACCAAAATAATTTTATATGAATATTGTATCAAATTTAAATAGGAATAACATTATACAGTTATCCACTAAATGAACTGTCATCTTTATTTTTTTAATTCAATCACTTTAATCTTTCCATTTTTATTTTTTGTTTAAGACTTGTTTTTTATTAGTAATTAACTTAAAGTTGATCTTATTTTCTTAGCATTTCTTTTTAACTACAATTTTTCAACCTATAGGCAATTATCAAGGAAGAACCTTATTATTCAAAAATCATAACTGACTAATAAGCGTTTCTTTCATACTTATGTACTATTTAATATTATTAAGAAGTAACATCATATAAAATAAATATTAAATAGTATAAAGATATAAATAAATTAGCCATAAATAATTTTCTTATCATTCTTTAAAGTTAATACAAGACCATGTTTAGTAATTTTATTTTTAATTTGAATTGTTTTATTAGAAGGTATGCTTTTCAAAGAAATTTCATACTTTAAATAATATAATACGCTTTTTAATGGCTATTCAATTTATAATGCTATCCAACCATACTGCATAGTTCGAAATGTTAACCAATTAACTTAAGAAAATAAAGAAAAGGATTTAATTCTTAGACAATTAATTAAGTAATAAGTACTAAGTAAATACTGCTGTTTAAAAGTTATAACTGAATAGAACAAAAAAAGGAAATGAAATAGTTTTCTAGGAAATTTCTGAATCCAACAAGAACAATAAAATATAATGAGGAGTAACTGGACATATTACTAGAACTACCAATATAATGATTGGTAGAATCAGCTCTTGGTTTAAGTTTTAATTGAATTCTTTCAACTTTCTAGCCTTTTATAAAATTTACAGAGAATTCCGGCTTAATCTCAACCTTATAAAATTTCAAACCGGTAGACACTCTGAGTTAGTACTTGAAAATAAAAAATTAAACTCATCTTGTGATAAATCAAGTTATTTGTAAAATCTTGACTCAAAAAGTGAATAAAAATATCAAAAATTAGTTATTTTACTTATCCTTCGAGAAGGATAAGTCTAACAATAAGAACGAGAAAGTTGCTTAGAAACCAATCTTTAAATTTGGTCTTGAGTTTTAGACATACTATTGAGAAATTTTCTCACATTACTAAGGAGAAACAGTAATTAATTTTATTATAAGAAATTCCTAGTTATAAATACAAGTGAAACTTAATCAACGTGAATATTACAAAATGTTTATAAATTACTGATTAATTAAAGTTTTTCTTTACCTTACCAAAGTCTTCAATTGTTGCCCTCATCTCCTTCCATGTTTTGTTTAAAAGAACTATACAAATAGAAAAGAATTCTTCGAATGGGTGATCATGGGTGAAAAAGAGTGGGTAAAATATATGCCCTTGTTCAGAAGGAGATTCACCGATGTGTAATAAATCACAAAGCAATCGCACTAGTTCTACCGATGTACGACCAAAAGGACATTCATGTTCATCTGCTCGGCAAGAATTTTCAAGAACAACCTGGAAAAGACATACTTTTAAAATACTGAGTCAATAAAATAGACGTTTTTGTTCACTTAGAGACAAGAATATTAATAAAAATATAAGTAGTAATAAAAAGAAAAATAAACATGATTAGAAAATGATATAGAAGTAGAAATTACTACGATAAAATACAATTTACTTTCATTACAATCTATAATGGCATTATAAATAATATGGTACAGACCCATTTTATCAAATTATTAACATCTGCCTAAAACTTTGTGAATAGCTTTACTTCATCATAACCTACAACATTTTTCTTGATAGAAATGCTTGGAATTGGGGCGTTTTTAATCTAGAGTTCTTTTTAATTAAACTTTGTCTATTTAATTAGGTACTAAAAAATCACAGACACCCATTAGCTTTCCACTTGAATCATAAGATAATTTAATCACAAAGTCGAGATGAAAGGTGACTTACAGATATTGGACCGTTTGGAGTGCACTAAAGCCCCATGTCAAAATAACAAGGTTAAACAGGCCAAATGGCACAATATTTTTGCAGGTCACTTTCTTTTTTTAAATTAACTTACAATTCAGGTGGAAAGCAAATAGGTATTTGTGAGTTTTTAGTACCTTATCAAATTAATTTATTTAATGATAAAGTGTTCCATTTCTGAGAATTTTAGTAAATAAATTTATACAAATTTCTGAGAATTTGTAGCTTAAGATCATAGATGAAGCCACTCCTGAAGTTTTAGAGGGATGTTAATAATTTGATAAAAATGGGTCTGTACCACGGCATAATATAGTTTTAACATATAGTCTGGGGTCCAACATTTGAAAAATTGACTTATTAATTTCACACTGTAAATTTTAGGAGAGCTGAAATATGCACACCAAAAATGTTTTGAAAAGGTGAATCTATTAGAAGTAATAATACAACCACAAATCTGAAATTACAAAAAAAAAAAAATGCTGGTTTCTGAGTTAATAAGTATTTAATGTCCTCATGGTATTCATAAACAGGATATATCTGCCAAACCTTCTCTCACAATAGGAACTTCCTAACAATATGATTGATATGGATGCAATAAAAATAACATAAATCTAGATAATTAATACTTTAGGCAATATCAGCTTAAATAAATAGCATACCTTAGTATAATTTTCGGTCTGATTACGTGCAAAATATATCATGCAGTCCAAAGCAAGCATGCCTGGTGGTGTTTCGGTAAAATCCAGTGCTGGATTTATGTCACATTTGAACCCGAGTTTTTTGTAATCCTTTGCAAAAACCCCTAACTGTTTACGAGCAAATGAATCGGCTCCACTAGTGCCTTCAGTATCGAATGCTATTCTTCTTAATTCTTTAATTTTATCATGAGCGTCCTGGTCCTAAAACATAAAACTTTATGCTTAATATTTCTTCAAGACTAAAATATAATTTTATTGAGACTACAATCTCTAATTTATTCATGATTAAGCATTAAGAGTATTAACATGTAGTAGAAATATATATTCAAATATTCATGTAAAATTCTTAAAATACCTGTTGATCCATCTTGGTTCTCATTCGAGGTTCAAGAAGACCAAGATAGTAAGTTTGGAAAACATAAAGTTGGTGAGCCATTTCAGTCCCAACCTGAGGGTATATCAAATTAAACATGAATACAAATATAAATGTTATTGAGAATTATAATTTATACTTAGAACCAATTATGATTAGAGCTGTTCAGATTACTCTGAATACTTTTATTTATCACGTAATGTGTTAAATTGGTTAAATCATATACGTGTATTTTAAAATTATATTTTGGATTAGATAGATGGATATAAATGACTTAAATGAAAGGTGATTTAAATATTAAGAAACAAATTAACTATTAAGTTAAATAAGAAAACAAAATTCTAAAAAACATTATATTCAATTGGATGTGAAAGAACAATGTTGTTGTAATCTATATCTATCTAAAAAACTTCTTATCTACATTTTTAAAACTTGGATTTGAAAGAAAAGTACTCCAAATAACAGCTGGTGTAACCTGAGATTCAAGGAAAGTATTATTTAAAGAAATTAATCTGCAGGTATAGAAAGTATAAGATATGAAAGCGAGAAGTTAAAATGAGACGAGTATGAAGCTCAAAGTAGTCCATCACATTGTTTCAATGAATATCAAGAAAACATAATGGATAGATAGAAGAACAGAAGATATTACACAACTATACAGATTTAGTGCATTAGAAAGGACTAACTTGACATAGAGGCGGAAAGGCTGATTAGGGCATTCAAATTGCAATACAAAATCTAAAAACTAACCTTCAAAGCAATCATGAGGAAGGTCATTTCCTCTTAAAAACTTCTTCAAATTATATTAGATAGTGGTTATAAATTTGAATAATGTATCGATGAATTATTTCCAAAAAAGAAACTTCATCAACGTCAAGTCAGCACTTTGCCAACTTGTGACTAATGCAGGAACAGCTGATGATTGGCTGTCTCCAGAGCCTACCAGCCAACAACTAACTCAGGCAGAAGGCATCTTCAGCAAAACAGTGTTCCTTGATCGTGAGACCTCATCCAAAACTTCAAATTTAAGATTTATGAAATTGCTAAGTCACTGATATAGGAATAACACATGGTGAAAAATTTTCCTCAGAATGAATATAGTAGTGAATAGACAGCATGCTACTTTTCCATAAATCTGCAAAACTTAACCACATACCCGAATCGATTATCGGATCGCCATTTTTCTAAGATGAGTACTAAGCAAGCTGAATGGATCTGGATGGCCCACATTGATCTGAGAAATCAAAGTGAGCGTATGGTTATTGCACGTATACGGTTGCTTATAATAGTGTAGCAAAATGAACCATATGAGCAGATTGTCTCCTCTCTTTTCAGTCAATCCTTTTCTGTTGATGCACATCAATCTGGCCATTATTATTATGATTATTTATTTCCTACTTTTTTTCAGACAGTACATCAGGATAATTCTGTTGGGGGTACTAGCAAAATTATCCTGCATTAGGAAACCCAAAGGATAAATTTCATTGCAACTGTTTAAAAAAGTATGAAATTGCTGCCTTCTAAATATCAATGCTGCAAATCATTTCAAGGGTTCTTACCATCCTTCTTATATTTTAATAAGTAGACAAAATATAAATAATAAATACTGACTCTGATCAATAACAAAGTCACCATTGCAGAGACTTAATATTCTAAACATGACTGTAGAGAACTGACTATCCTCCTCTCAGTCTTCACACAGTGATACATTGCTCATTAAGAGTGAATCCGTTTCTCTCCGTCTCCTTTTGGGAGAATGCTGAAGTATTAACATGACTTTAAGAGATAAAAACAAATAAACGGCACTTTTGGTAAAAATAGTTTTTACCAAAAATGGCTATTTAATTGTGCATCAATATACGCACAAAAATTGATTTTATGATAATAAAGTGATTCTCTCTCCTACTTCATAAATTCATCAATTCTGAATCATAGACTCCGTTGAAGGCTGAGTGTATTAGAAAGTAGACAAGGTGACCCAACAGCTTGCTAAAGTCCTGACCTCAACTGAAAACGACTTGTTGGACACTGGCAAATCTCGAAGGAGGTTAGGACTTTCTGGCTGAAGCCTCCTCAAAATAAAAATAGAAAAATAATTTTTACTTATTAATAACTTTACTTCACTTATCCTTATTTGATTCTATGAGTAATCTGAGCTAAATAATCACAATATAAATAATCTCTCTTTAATTTTTTTACCCTAAGCTAAACGGGTGTTTTCCCAGGCCATGGGGTGAGGGTGGGGGATTATTAATGCCAGAGTTTAAAGGCCCTTTCCCCTGGCACCGGGATGTGAACTAGTACTTATTTTATCAAGGGGTGGGGTGGCCAAATGGGCTAAAGTGTGTGCACAGCACTTCTGTTGCCCGGAAACTTGAAACTAGATAAAAATGAAATGGCAAGATAAAAATAGTCACGATTTCACGTCCCAGTGAAAGGAGGAGTCTTTTAAATCCCAGCCCAGTCTCCCTGGCCCGGGAAAACCCCATATAGCCTAAAAGGCGAGGAACCCCCCCCAAAAAAAACGCGTGTTAGCCCATTTGGCCACCCCACCCCTAACACCACATAATACAGCTATTAAATGTAATGCCAAATCAAGAAAAAAAAAATTTACTTTTATTTTTTTACAGGCCTTCAAAGACCACATTTTTTTTCCCTCCCCTTCCTGGCTTTTCCAGCTATAAGGGGTTTTTCTGTACCAGGAGAGAGGATGGGAGATTAATGCCAGAGCTCAATCCCTCTCCCCAGCACCAGGATTTAAACTCAATCATCAGTTTTATCCGGTTGCCAGGCAACACGTTAGCCAGCTCGGCCAGCCCTCTCCTCCTTCAAGGACCACTTAAACATTATTTTATATACTTTTCTTCTTTTTTATTTAGAGTAGTAACCGTTATAAAAAAAAATAAAAAAATTACCCTCCATCCAAAAATTAAATCTTGAATCCAATACTGCTGTCAGGAGTTTGTTTATCCCTTATAAGCGAATTGAAGTCAAAAGCAGTGATGTAATTAAGGTACCGTTAGAGGTACCTTAATAAGGACCAGGTGTAATAGAGATGTAATAAGGACCAGTTAGAGGTTTGTAAAAGCCGTAAATCGCTTGTCAGGAGAATAATAAGGAAGGAAATGTGAATCAAGTTGATTAGGAACTTATCAAATATTTGGCAAAATGTTTACAAATAAAGCTGAAAAAAAAATTAAAATATAATTAAAGGTAACACTTTAAAGGAAAATTCAAAACCAATGCCGGACTTAGGATAGGGCAATCCCAGCACACACTCAGGGTTACCTAACATTGTTGAACTGTAAACATTAGCATAATAAAATGAATTAATTATATATAATTCAAATATAAATTATTATCAATCAGCTCAAGAATTTTTTTTCAAGTAAGGGTAGAAAGAAGAGGGATATTTCATGCTGTGTTGCCTGGGGTAGGAAATATCTAATGCCAGCACTGCTTAAAACAATGACTTCAACTTTGAGTTTGTAAGCAAAATAATAATATTAAATGAGTATAAAATGGAAATTAACAATTAATACAATATACATAAATTAAACTTGTGATGATATCATAACAAGTACCTGGCCTGAAGATGCCTGAATTATATTTGACAAAATAGAGCTTCGAACTTGAGTTGAACATACTTGGTCAGCAATAGCTTTTCTTTTTGTGACATCTTGAGCTTTAGACAAAAAGGCATTTATGAGAGCTAAACTATTTTGTTGAATTATAGGATTTGATGACTGTAAATGGGATTCAAGATTGGGGAAAGCAACTTCTTTTTCTACAACTGCATACTTTCCAGTACTATTCACTAATATATTTTCCAAAATAGATAGTGATGCTTGGATCACTTTGCCATCTTGCTGAACAGGAAAATTGTTGACATAGCTTGCAACAGTACTTATAAAAGGTACTTCAAGGATGTCCCATGAAACTATCCCATGGTCCATCAATTCAACAAATGATTTCAGTAAATAAGCTAACATAATGCCTTTGTATTTACCACCACCAATCAAGTTAATAACCAATGTCAGGCCTTGCTTATTAATGAATTCTAAAGCAAAAGTATTATCAGCGCTTAAAATTGATAGTTTTTCTAGTGATTCTGTTTTGTCTTCCAAGGTACGAGAATTTAAACTTTGAAGAATATCTGCTACTGTTTTAAGTGGTGAATGTGTCAGTCTCAACACTGATCCATTTTTAACTTCATTTCTGTTTTTTTCAGTTATGTAGTTCTTGTTGTTCTGTTCAGAAAATTGCAATGCATATTGTTCAGCTTCTGACAAGCCCCAGCCATTACTAAGTTCTTGAATTATGGAAGCTAGTGGTTGCTTTTGATTGAATTCGATTAGTTGAGGAAGTTGATCCTGCATCTCTACCGCAATTTTCACAATATTGGCATCTTTAATGGCAGTCATTTTGAACAGGAATTCACAAATAAATAACCCAATCTATCACAATTGCTTCCACTTAACCTTCTTAAAAACATTAACTGATAACCGAATAACCTTCTCCTGAGAGCTATCGATACTATTAATAAATATTGAAAACTATATGTTTTTTATTAATTTTTTATTAAAAAAGTCATCTTACTGGATATGAGAATAATCAACTTATGAATTATGTTTTTTTCACTGTATTTAAACCTATTTCAAAGGTTGAATCCCACGTCTTCAGCAATTATTCAGTTAATACTTCATGTTCCTTTTATAGTAAATCTTATTTAGTATAATATAAGAAATTTCCTACAAAATTGAAAAAATAGTTTGAATAATCAACACGAAGTAGAAATTTAAGTAATTGATATAAAAATCGATTGTTATTTTGATGTTTATTGGTTATCATTTGCGTCACAAAGTGGGGGGTCGGAGTAGTTGTCATATTAAATCAGTATTTCTTTGTTGTGTGAGATGGATTGTGCCAATTATTGATATCAATGCCACTATTTCATTCACTGTTTACAGCATTGACATAATTTTATTTAATGACAGTAGAAACCTACTGACTCCTGTGATTCCTGTATGTATTATGTAATAATATTGGCTGTCTTTAAAGTTTTTAAAATTTGTATTTGTTGCCTATAATTTATACATATTTAAAATACACCATTAATTTTAATTATTCTTTTAATTAGAATGGATAGTTCAGTCAATACTCGACCACTTCTCCAAAGAAGTGACACTGATAGTGATTTTGATGAAGATCCTGCTGCGATTAGGACAGAAAATAATGATGATGTGATAATAAAAGATACTAAACCTCTGTTTAATTCCTGGGAGCCTGCAGATAGGTATTTTAAAAAATAATTGTGCTATCTATTTAGGTATATTTTCCAATAAGGATAAAAAGTATTACAAAAAAAGTTGTAAAATATTTATAAACTTTTTTTGTGTATGTTCATTTTTTTAAATTTACATTTGTTGTTTTTTATATATTTATTGTTGGGTTAATTTAGATAATTTGTCATTCGGAATAATTATGACGTAAAACTAACTAAATTTTTATTTATATATTTTATAGTTACATACACATAGCTATTAATTTTATTTATTTATTTACAGATAAATAATAAATTATGCCTTAAAATTTTGTTTATGTATTTATTTATTACATTACTCCTTTAACTGTATCAAATTTTTAATTTTACAACTTAAGAAATATATTTTTTTTCTCTAGACTGATTTAATTTTAGTTTTAAAAATATTTAACTAAGTGTTGGTTTAATTTTTAAAAAAATTTATAGTTATTTGTGACATCTTTATTTTTTATTTTTGTAGTTCTTATGTATTATTTTATGTTTATACCAGTCAGTTTTGTATGTATATAATCAATATATGTATATATAAAAGTCTATTATACGTATATGAGTATTAGATAGGTTTAATACTGTTCTATTTAGAACATCAATTGATTCTTAGCTACTCAAGAATTGCAAATTGCAATATCTTTTTTATTACTCAAAACTCATCATTATATTAGTTATTTCCTATGGCTTAGCACTCAGTAAAAATTTATGGTTAGAGGGTTAAAATGTTTTCTGGCTCATTCTTCACTGGAATTAACTAGCTCTTCTCCGTGATTCACCTCCCCCCCAGTAAGAATTGATGGCCATCAATTGGATGGAAGGGTTGAGATCCTAGTAGAATAACAGAAGAAATCCTAGTAGTATAACATATTCCTTCATTTGAATAAAGGAAAATACAAATGAAATTATAAAAGAATATCCAAAGATGATTAAACAAAATCCAAAACAGATAAAATACAAATTTATGTGTAATAAGGTGATATAAAAATCATCTCTCTGAGATGGTTAATGCCTTCTATTTTGGTATTTTTAAAGAGATCACTGCTTTTTAATTTATTTCACTCAACTCTCCCCACCAGACTGAATTTGCCCCTTAAAATTTAGCCTTGGCGATTCAAGTCATGAGCCCTTTTTTTCCTACAAATTGTTGTCAGAGCTACTCTGTAGTACTAAATTTAAAGACTTGTTTATTAATATAAAAAAATCCAATACTATGCTCTATCATTTCTTTATTATTCATTATCACTTTGATATCATCCCATGGAATCAATATTTATCTCCCCACACTGGCTAGAATAGGATGACAACCTGTAAGATAACTTCAGTCTTTCCCGCAGTAGTTGAAATAAATCAAGATTTAAAAAACAGAAACTTTGACATTATAATTTATGAACAATTTTATTTATGTTAATATGAACTGCTTAAAAGTCTTTTTCTTTCAATAATCTAATTTCCTTATTTTAGGTACAATACAGGATATATAATATTCTATATACTGGGCACCATAATTTTATTGCCATGGTTTTTTTTCATTACTGCTGAAGAGGTAACACAGTCATAATATTTCTTTTATATTTGTAATGTCTGATTGCATTTTTAAAATTTTTCTATAACTTCCTTTCAGTATTGGATGTATAAATTTAGAGCTTTGAATACGAATGTTACTCTGACTGAAAAAGGAAGATCTGAATTACAAGCATGTTTCACATCGTACATGACTATCGCAGCAACTGTCCCGAGCACATTGTTTCTTATAATCAATCCTTTGATCAATCACAAGTAAGTATGTCAGATAGTTTTTTATTTTTATGGATTTTTAAGCTTTCCTACTAAAGATTATTGATTATTGTAATTTAAAAAATTATTCTTTTAAAAATAATTCCTAGTTTTTATTTCTCTCCTCTTATCACTACAGAATTATTATTTTACTTGAAAGAGGTTAAATTGACTTCTTGAATTGATTAAGCTAAAATAATATATACTATAAGCAACCAATGATTTCTTGTGGCTGCTTAATTTTAGTACTGTCAACTGGGGGAACTTAACCCTTGTGGGCAACATTAGTCCAAAAAACGAAAAAAGTTTTTATGTTGGTTAACCGTGATTAGGATTGGAGAAGGAGTTCAAAGGAGTGGTCAAATATAATACCATTTATTAAAATAATGAAGAAAAGGATGGTTAGGATGATCAGTCAAAATAAAAATGGCCATTATTCACTACAGTCAACCATCATCCCACAATTTATTAAAATATATTTTTGTATTGGACCGCATCTCCGACCAACTTCTCAAAGTTTTATATGTTAGATCTAAACGAAAAAGAATGACTGCCATTTATTTATTGCGATCTATTGTCCCTTGTAATTATTAAGTTAAAACAACTATTCAGTTCATATTATCATTTTTATTTAGGGTCAAAGTCACCCCAGTAGATGGTATTCCTGTTTAATTTGGTGTTATTACTCGATTATTATGTTAATATTTTTATTTTGGGCTATCAACTATAAAATTGAAATATATACATTAATATAAATAATATTTTTATTTAATCACACTGTACCTAATTTGAAAATTAATTATTAATCTCTGTATTTAACCGGAGTTACTGTAATTATTAGTTATAAAATAAAAATATTTTATTTTAAATACTTTAATACTTCTTTTATTGATTCTTCTTCTCTTTTATTAAGATTGGATTTAACACAATTTATCTATATAAATGCATATAATATTGGTATTGCTGTTCTTCATTACAATATGATTCTCGCAGCTCAATATTTTTTAAAATTCAAAATGTACTTCCATATTTAATCCTGAAACTTCCTTCCATGCTAACCTAATTCTTTACAATTCTCCATTATCTTTTCTGAATATTATCTGTTTTAATTCATGTTTTCTATCGTTCAATTCAAATGAACAATTATGTTTTAAAACTTAAACATGATTAAAAATAATATGATCCTGTTATTATTCATTAGCCATTTAGTATGTGTGTGTGTGTTTTTTTTTTTTTTTTTTTTTTTTTTCATATCTTTGTAGAAGGCATTATTTTGGAGTTTTTAGCATAGCATATCAGTCAAAACAGATAAGCGTGTCTATCACCTGTTGTTGTTTATCACCTGTCATAAGGCCCCAACAGATAAAACACTTGACAAATGTTTTATTTAGCTAAAGAACTTACTGTGTCTGACATATTTGTCATTGAAAATTTTGATGAAATCATAATATTTTACAGTTTTAAATATTAATATTATGTTTTATATTGAAAATTATTATTATATTTAAAGAAACAATTATGAAGATAGTGTTTTTAGTAACATTTGCATAGTAATATTGTTGAGTTATAAATCAATTTCATGTATTATAACAAAACGAAATTGAACAATTAATCCTGGAGACTAAACATAAATATTTTTTCTATTCTGTTCTGCTTTGTTATTTTCTACACTTCACACAATTTATTATTATATTTAAATTTGTATATAACATTTTTAATAATAATTTTATATATTGAGTGCATTCTGTATTAAGCTGTTATAAATTTATTGTTTTGTTTTTTAAGTTTTTTAGTGAAGTATAGTTGATTTCAAGACAAACTACTGTAGAAACAGGTTTTGATAATTTGGACTTCTGCCAGTTATATTGAATCATGACATCCAATTCAAAACATTTTATTTAAAAAAAGAAGTATATTTTATTCAGAAAAAATTGATTGATCAAAAAAGATTTGAATGTCTCTTATTTTTAAATTATGAAATAGTATACAAAATTAGTTGAAGTGGGTGTTTTTTGACTTGTTGTTGTTTTGGTTTCATAATTCCTTTCTTTTTTTTTTTTTTTTTTGCATAGTATTAGTCATGTTGGTCTCCTTGGAATCAGCATCTGGATTCTTTATCATGTATTCCTTTGAGCTGGAAATCCTTGAATAGATGAGTGTGTATGTAAATATGGCTGTAATATACTACGTAGATGTGACACTCCATTAAGTCACCGAATGACCATACAATAACAATTTTCTTTTCTTTTTTTTTTTAAATACACTTTTTAAGTTTATAGCTAATGTCATAAAAATTACTTGTTAATTTTTATCATTTGCCAATTAATCATCAATTATGCCTATGATTAACGATTTGTTCATCTACATAGGTAATAATAATAAATGCTTCTAATTTATTGGTATAGAAAAAGTGTGTATTTCCTAACCCCCCAAAACGTTTATTTAATAAATTACATATAACAATTCTAATATATTCAAATAACAAAGTCCTTCCACTGCCTGAGGGCAATAAAAAACAATTAATTATGTTTATTTAATTTATTAAAATAATTATTGTATTAGGCTGAATGTGAGAAGAGAAGTCTTTTTACAATGGCAAACTATCTTTAGAATACTGTATGAATTATAAATAAAATATCATTTAGTAAAACACATGTAAAATATTATTTATAAAATGGTAAATTACAAATATTAATTAATAGCGCTCAAAAAATAACAAACTTACTAAATGTAAAGCTGAAGTATTTAATACAATGAATGAAAATAATCTTATTTGTAATAATTAATCACAGATCTTTCAAAATAGGCTTTTAAAATTTCCATATTTTTATTAAATAAATGTCTGTTAATATTGCATTCTAATTTAATTGTTTAATTTCCATTTCTTTTATATCTTGCTCAAATCCTCCTACTTGCGTTTCAAGGACAATTTATAGATTTATAGACACTTGTTATAAAGTTCTAATATACATCCTGTAATAGACTGACTGTTCGGTTACATTTTTTTTCTTTGTTATCCTCCCCATCCTTGCCTTTTAGGTTATACAGGGGATTCCCAGGCCAAGGGGTGAGGGCAGGGGATTAATGCCAGTGTTAAAAGCCTCCTTGGCACCAGGATGCAAACTCGGAATTACAATATCTCTGTAGAGAAACACTTGTTTCTTAAAATATTTGTTCCACCTTTTGTCGGTTATGAGAATAGACCTTTAATAATGAAAGCAATTAATAGCCATATTTATACTATAAAATGTATGTACTGGAATAGCTTTTTTGTTACTGACCCTGAAGTATCAGACTTTGTGTTGTGCACTCATATCTTGGGTTAGCACCCCTAGCTAAATTAAAAAAATCGTATTGTACATTTTTCATTTCATACTGTTATTATCTCAAAATTATTTTATATATAGCTTATCTAATGTCGAAATGAAAACATTTTTTTTTTTTTTAAATATGCTTCATAAGTGCATAATAATGCCTTGCTTTTTGCTCACTCGTTATCATATCTTCTAATGTACATTATTTTATCCTACCATGACCACCATTTGACTAATGTCCATACCCAGTTATTATTTTGCCTTGAGTGTTCGGAAAGTCAGTGTAAAATATCTCTAGTATGTCACACCGACTAGAAAACATGTAATAATTTTTCTATTTCACAATCAATACCAATTTGGGATATATTAGGTGACAAAAATTGTTTGCTGTTCAATCTAGAAGTTTCAAGTTGTGAAATACTTATAGTTTATCACCATTAATATTATGCTGCTAACTACTAAGTAATTGTTGGACAAGCAATTTGATTCAATAGTGATATAGGCTTTCGCTGTTTCAAGGATGATGAGTTACACATTCATTTTTTAATACAATGGTAATATAACATGAAGCGCTTAATTTAGGAATATAAATTTATTACTAGATCTGTAAAATTTTCTTCTTATAACAATTATTTCAGAAGATTCGCTAGCATAGTAGACATTAACTTTTTTTTTTGTGTGTGTTTTTAGGATTTCCTTGAATGTGAGGATGATTGGTTCTTTGGTGACTATGTTGGTGTTATTTATTGTGACTACAGTTTTTGTTAAAATTAACACTGATTCCTGTAAGTTAAAAAAATTTATAAATTATATTTTTTATTTAGTTACTGATGTAAAAACTATGTGATGTTATAGAACTTGAGAATAATTCAGAAATGAGATGTAAATCTTTTTTGGTACTAATAATTCTAATCTCTATTTCAACAAAAATACCTTTGAACTGTACATTTACAGAATGTTATTTTTTATTTACTTTAAAACTTTCACTTTGACAAGTATATTGAAAATCAGAAAGAATGGTTTATTGAGATTTACAAAATTAAAGGTTTAGTGGTCAAATGGTTGCTTTCCACAAATCTGGTTGTAATATTATTTATTTATTATTATTATTTTTACTTTCACTTATCTATGTATGTAATATATAGTAAGGAAAAGCACTGCAATCGTGAAATTTTTTTAATTTGAGTCTTAATAGAAATAGACGTTTTGAGATCCCCTGAGTCCAAATAACCAAGTCCAAATGTATATACCAAAATGTATCATCAATTTTACACATTTTTATGATTCTCTACACATTCTCAAAAAGGGCTCTAACGATTATGATCAAATTCATTATATCGGTATAAAATTAGGCAATTTTTAATATGATGTATTTATTTTATTCTTATTGATGTTCTCTAATAGAGCTTAAAATGCATAATTTCATAATTTTCTGCCTCCAAAGTAGCTGTAGTTTTTTTTATTTGAAATAATTTAATAATTAACTAAAGGAATAAATAATTATAATAATAATAAATAAGGGATTGTAAAAGAGATTCAAATAGCCTCGAGTACTCACCAAGCTTGGCTGAAAGATTGAATATGTTTTCATGAAAACAAATAAAAACATTTAAAATGAATGAATAATACAATTTTTTTTGAGAGAGACAAAATAATTAGAATTATTATTATTATTAAATAACATAATTTTAAAATGGTTGTACCAGTGTAAAATTCTTCTATCTATTCAAAGTTCTATTATATTGTACTATGATACCGATTCGATCAAACACATCTTTTTGCCAATTTAACATGATAAAACATTTTTACCGTTGTGTGGTTGTTCCATCGGATGAGTATTATTAACTTATTTAAACTAGTTCACAAAATAATCCTTAAAAAATGATATATTAACAATTATTTGCTACTTAATATAATCAAAAATTTAGGCATAATTGATGGATACAAAGAAAAAACTATGTTTAGAAGATATCTTTTCACAATGCTCATTGGATGTTCTGGAAAAATTTTAGTTCTTAAATATTATTTTGTATACTACAATTGAATAATATTATATAATATTTTTTTATTGGTTTTATGTATAATAACTTTTTTTTATTTATTAGAATTATCAATTAAAAAGAGGGAAATCCTTATATTGAAATTTCCAAGAATATTTATTCTTGTCATGTAAAGAAAGTTTATTTTCTGCAGTTAATATATTAATTTAGTTGTCATAATTTTTCTTTCTTTCTTGCAGGGCAATATGAGTTCTTTGTTTTGACTTTGATTATAATCGTGGCACTGAATGGTAAGCTGAAATAATTTAATAATTAAACTACTTACAAAATAATAAAATAGAATAAATATTATTTTAAGCTATGATTATTAGACGTTTGTTTAGTTTCTATTTAAGTTATTTTAGATTCATTAGATTTGTATAAGTCAATTTTAGAATGAAACCCGGTTTAAATATGTTTTAAAATTAATTTTATCTTGAAACAGTTGCTAGCGCTATCCTTCAGAGTGCAGTGTTTGGCGTTGTGGGACGATTTCCATCAAGATATATAGCCGGGACTGTTAGCGGTCAGGCTTTAGGTGGAATCATGGCTGCCGTTGCCGAGATAGTATCCTTGTGGCTTGGTGCCTCGCCCCTTCTTTCTGCTCTAGTTTACTTTATTATGGCGGATGCGTTTATTGTGATATCTATTCTGTCATACATATTTCTGGCATCTACTGTAAGTTTGATCATACCTCTTCTTTGTTGTTATTTTGCCAGTATGCTATTGTTTTTAGAAAGAAGCATTAATCATATTTATTTATTTTGTTTCTTAATAGGTTTTTTTCAAGTTTCACAGTAAAGAATTACCCAGGCAAGGATCCATACAATACGAACCAGTGGTCGAATTGGAGAAGGAAAATCCAATAGTCAGAGAAATATGTTACACTGGCATTTTGAAAAAGGTACCAGAATTTATATACTCAATAATCCACACTAGTGTCAAATTGTTAGGCACGGGTGTGGAGTATGAGTTAGATAAATCAATCCTTGATTATTATTATTTTTTAAATACTTTTATTTCCTTAATTAGTGGAAGCATGTTAATGGTTCAAAAAATATTTTTTCTGATCCTCTTTTTGATTATTGTTTTTTAAGACACTCTTTAGGTTTCCAACTAATTCATCCACTATTGATAAGGTTTCCTCATTTTCTTTAATAGCGAACAATTTTGAGTGATTAAAAAAAAAAAAAATGTTTTTGTGAAATATATTAAATAGTAAAAATAATACCTTGGATAAATTAAAGCTATCTTTGAATAAGTTTTAAAATATTTTTTTTTTTTTAGTAGCTATATGATCTATTATTTTTTTTTTCAAGTTATTTCTGGATGACATTATACATAGAAAAAACATCGAAGCCATCATGAAATATTGTAGGTACAATATCACAAGACAAGGAGACAATGGGTATTCTTATCTATTTTCTGTATTACTTTCACATACCTATATATGTAATATATAGTATGGGACAGTATTGAGATCGTGAAAATTTTCAATTATGAGTTTTCAACAAAAATATATTTTTGGAGGTCTCCTGAGTCCAAAATAACTAAGTCGTGCAAAATGGTCTGTGTGTGTCTCTGTGTATGTATGTGACCAGTCTAGCTCAAAAATGAAAAGTTGTATGAAAGTGAAATTGCATATTTAAGGTTTGTATATACCTGAGATGTTACAATAACATTTTAGTCAAAATCGACTTACTGGAAGTGGCACTTTATATAGTCGATGTTACACTTTTTTACGATTTTCTCAAAAACGGCTCAAACGATTTTGATTAAACTCGTTATATAATTGTATAATTAAGTGGTCTTTGATATCATTGAGGTCTTATCCCCATTGATGTCACTTAACAGAGCTTAAATGCTTAAATTTTTAATATGTCTTCCTCTGAAGTACCTTTGATTTGACTTATTTTAAATAATTCAATATATATATATATATATATATATATATATATATATATATATATATATATATATATATATACATATATATATATATATATATATATATATATATATATATATACATATACATATATACACACATAGCTCAGAGATTAGAGTTATGTGGTTTACAAAAACAGATGGAGTACCGAGGTTGATATAATTAATAAGATTTTTGTTATTTTGATTGTTTTTATTATTTTTTAGCTGTAAGTTTAAGCTATAGCTCTGTTAAAAGTGCACTTCAAAAATTTTATAATTGCTCAATATTGCTAGAAAATTATTTCTATTCAGAGTAGAGAGCTAAGTGAAAGTTGTGTGCTGCTCGCTCCAGATTTTTTTTTCTTATTTTCTCTTCTACACTAACAATATAAAACATAGCTTATAGCTAAATAATGTACATTATATACATTATTATGTTATGCTGGTCCAATGTTATAAATCATAAAATCTAATTTGCACTACGAGAATACAAGAGGGCAGGACAAAATTGTCTAACCACAGAGATTTTAATAATTAGGCCCCATCATACCAAAGAAAAGCCATCCCTCAAAGATGAAGCCAAACTAATAGATACAGTAAGTGATCTAGCAGCAACATATAGTGGAGGAAACAGCCTGCAGACTGCTATTTAAAACTTATTCTGTTTCTAGTGTTTGTTGTATCAATAAATATTTTTTTTAATTGTGACCCTTGGATTCCTCTATTGTGATGTGGGATGGTACTATTCATCTGGAGGAAAAGGGGTCCATACGAATGAAGCACCATATCAAAAACTGAACAACTTAAAGTTAAAGTTATTGTCTTGAACTAGAAAAAAATTTAAAGTGATCTTTAAATTTTAAAAATGTATTTTTCTCTTATTAATTAAATATCTGTTCCTTATCTAGGTATTTTCATTTTCAGATTTGGGTGCATGGGATGTCTTTGTGGTATTGTTTCGTTGTAATGTTTTGCGTCTACCCATCAATTACAGTTCTTGTGAAATCCATGTATGAGGGAAATGGTTCAGCTTGGAATGGTAATAATATATTTATTATCATCACTCTCTTCCTTTTTCTTATATCTTATGATTCAAAATAGTAAGACTTTTTTTACTATTAGATGAAAAAAATTAATTGTGTATTTTCTGGCAATTCTTACTGTTTCATCAGGAATGTAATCAGACAGTCTTACGAAATTTCAGTCTTTGAACATCAACATTCATTAAATAAAATGATGATAAATAGTTTTTATATAAACTTAAAAAGGTAAAATACGTGATCCTTATTGTCACACGCATAGCTCAATCTGTTGAGAGAAATCTTCTAACACTGTTTTATTGCATTGGTGTAGCATTTATATCAATATATAATATATATTAAAGAAAGAATGTGTTAGTGAGGAATTAAATTTTTATGATAGCTTATACTTATAAATATATACATAAAATCAAGAGAACAGCAATATGACCAAATAAAGATGTATTAACAAAATTAAATTGTAATTAATTAAGAAATTTAATACTAATGAATAATATTATAAATAATAGCAATTTTAATTTAATAATTAAACAAAAATAATATAATACCTTATATTACAAAATTATTAAAAAACAGGTGAAAATAAAAAATATCTGATTTTAAAAAAACTCAATAAATTGTTTATAACTGTTAAATAAAACTATTGGACATTAATAAAAGTGAGGATAGTTAATCTATAATAAACTGTCCATTAATTATTAAAAAAGAAAATATTTTACTTTACAAAATAAGAAACAAAGACAACTTCAATAAACTGTTTATAATTATGAAAAAATATTAGGCATAATTAATAGGAACTGGTATAACTGTCCATAAATTCTGAAAGAGAGAGAGAGAGCAAATAAATTGATATCTAACCAGAAATCTTGATTTTGATGTAAACAAAATAATTATTTTGACTGCATAGCATGCCATCGAGTCATGGCAGGTAGATCGGGAATTGTTTGCAGTCCTCATTCAATGATTCTCTTGTAGATCGCCGACACTTCAGACGATGGCAGCAATTTTTGTTGGTCTCCAATGTGCATGTAGAACTTGAGCTGGCTGGACTTAGAGCTGTATTATCTGCACTCTTTCTCTTAATATTTTTCTCCTAATCTCTCACTCACTATAAACATTCTGTATTTACGTACTATAATGTAAATATATATATTATTAAGTTCTATCCACCTTGAAATAAGGAAGATGAGATGAAATGAAAGTGGCTAGGATACATCTTAAGCAAATCTGATGGTTCCATCGAAAAAGATAATACTGTGGGAGTAAGTTAAAGATGAAGAGCCAGAAAGACGTGGCACAAATCAGCTGAAAAAGATCTTGGTATGATCGACTAAACATAACAGGAAGCGAAACGCGTTGTTTGAAGATTAATCTCTTTGTAGATTTCTTGCGCTCCTTTAAGAGTCAACGAAAAAATAAAAATACTGGCAAAATTGACTGTATGGAATGAAAATGGGCAAACCTTGTTAAGAATTCCCTATAAGAGAGTTTATTTGGAACTTAGCAAGTTGGCAGATTAATAAAGTTGATAGATTGATTGTGTGTTCATCAGTGGCATTTAGACATTAAAATACATCACAGGAGTAATTATTAAATAGCTTTACTGAAACCAAAGATTACAAATCAATATTTTCATTTTCTATTGAAATTTTGGTTCAGTATTATTTGCTTATTTTTTAGTTTTAATTATTTTTTCTTTATTTCAGACATATATTTTGTTCCGGTTGTAACATTCTTATTCTACAGCATGTCTGATTATATTGGTCGACTCATTTCTGGTTATTTACAATGGGTAAGAAATTATTTAATATTAATATATTGTTCAAATATCTTACATAAGAAAATTATATGTTTGTCAAGATAATGATTAATTGATTGAATAATGTCATATTTGTTTGTAAATTTATAAAAATGGTTTCGCCCGTATCATTTAGAAAATATGAATGTAAGAAAAACTTATGAATTTCTACTGTATTACAGTAAGTTGGTCTCTTTGACAGAGAACAGTTTTTGTTCCAAATATCTCCTCTTCATTTCTTTTTTTCACACATTGACCTTTAATTGCATTTATTCGCTCAATAATAGTTTTTTTTTCTCATTCTTTTTACTTTAAGTTCTATTTGAATAACTAAAAACCTTAAATCTTAAGAAAACAAAACAAATTTAACCTAGATGTAACTTATTCTTTGCTTGTATAAAACACAAATTTTCAGCCGGAAAAAAGAAGTTGGATCATTGGAGTGATGAGCCTTGTGAGGACTGCTTTCATTCCGCTGGTAATGTTATGCAATGCGCAGCCGAGACATCACCTTCCTGTCCTAATTACGTCTGATTGGTATTATATTGCTATCATAATTATTTTCGGTCTCTCCAATGGATACTTAGCCAACATTACATTTATTACTGTACCTAAGTAAGTTAATTATTATTGCTATCTGATATTTAATCAGTTAAATAGTTCATATTTAATTACCATCTATTCACAATTTCCTTTAATGGTTGAGTTTTTTATTTTTAAACATAAAACTATAATTTATAATCTCAAAACCATTATTTAGAGAATTAAGGACTTGCATAGTACATGTAGCATTTTATAATATAGTTAATTCAAGTCTAGTATTAGTATAGTATGGTATAGTTAATTCACTTATCTCAATAATAAACTACTTTTGGCCCATGCAAATAATTCACAGAATATATTGTTTAGTGAAAAAGCAGCAAAACAACATGCAAATAAGTAGATCTTGTGTACTGTGTGAGGAAGGAATTATTTTTCCTTAGTCGAATACAATATTTCATCATTTAACATAATATGCCAAAATATTTGTACAAATTACTTTTCAAGGTTCTATTTCTAAATGCTAAATATTACCAAACATATTTCAAAATAAGGCCTCAATAACAGGATTTTCCATATTATTAAAAAATATAAAATGTACCAACATAAAAATTCCTTTAAGAAATAATCGAGTATCTTCGAAGAGGATGAAATTTTAATGTATATCAAATCTAATGGATTGAACCTTTGGTAATAATGGTCCGATTTTTACGATTTTTTTTTTCTATTAGGAAATTTAGTAATCTTTCAATTCAGAAAAAAATGCAAACTTTTGAGTTATTTGCAAATAAATTTTGTTTTCCTTCATAACTTCTTTTCCTGAAATTTGGGGAGTAGGTGAATATTTTTCCAACCTGAAGGAGAAGATCTTCAAAATGAGGGCTCATTTTATTTGATTAATAATTGACAAAGTTATGGCATTGTGAAAAAAAAAACTCCTTTGAAAAATAATATACAAATATATGTAGTTGTTGATTTAAATTGAATTTCTGAACTTCGTATGTTATGTCTGAACTACCAAAACGTTTATATTAAGTGATATCCTACTTTTATTTTTTGGTTTTTCTGTTCATTATACTTTCTCTTACCTATTTCATATCACCAATAGTTTATGAACATTTTTCAAGATAATTTTATTTTTATTTTTTCAATGGTGAAAATATATCAAACTGTTAATGTAATCAAGAAGTTCGTTGAAAATTGAAGGGAGGGTTTGGTAAAGGTGTTTTCTTTATTTTTATTAAATAAAGAAAATACGGTAAGTGTAACATTTCTTTTAATGTGTGTGTTTCCGTCTTAGATGTTAGATCTTTATCAAGTTGACGAGTCAAGAAATTCAGTAACAAGTGAAGCGACAGCACACATTAAAATAAGTATTACACTTACAGTGTTTTGTTTCTTGACAGTACTCCCTGACCATCATAATTTTTTTTTTCTGTGATGAATGTTTGGAATGATTATTGATCATTTATAGTTTCATCATTTATGTTATTATAGGAATTAAATTTCTTTTAAGGATTTATATAGTCTCATAGTTGAGAATCGCTGTCTCTTCAAATTTATTTGCTTTCATATTTTTTATTTTTATTTATTCTCTTTAATTAAGTCCCGTGATTCCATTTAAGTTCTTGGCAGTTTTTTTGGTAGGTTTAATATTTTTTTTAAATTATTTATTTGCATCATTCTAATGTAGTGATAACAAGTAGTAATATTTGTAATGAATTTTTACAGGATAGTTGCACCACACGAACAAGAGGTAGCATCAACTATGCTTGCAGCATTTCTTGGTGTAGGGATCGCTTGCGGGTCTGGCATCAGCCTGTTATTTGTTAAACTACTTTAAGATCACTTTTACCTCACATTCCCGTTAATTCTGCGTATGGCAGTTTTAACTTTTCTGTTGTTAACGACTATATCCTCCTGCTTGATACTTAGAAATTAATCAACCTCCATGATATCTCTCAGGAAATGTATGTACTTAGTACTATGGAGAATCGTGTTGAAAAATTTATATTATTGTTGTTTCCATGCTTTATTATCTATATGAAAAAGAGGATATATATAAAAACTTTCGAAAATGTTAAAAGTTATAAATTTATTATCTTATATATAAAACTTGTACATGGTTAGTTTTGGAGATTTAAAGATAATATTTTTATCGGAACGATTTAATCATTTGAAATATTTATCTGCAGTAAAACCTCTTTTAATTAGTCTGAAGGGTTAGGCATGGATAAGGATAAAATAAAGTTGAATCTTTAGAAATATTGAATACATGTGTCATATTGATGGATCCATTAAAAAACTTATTTTAAGCAAAATTAATGCTATAAAAGTATATTTTACAAAAATTATTTTGAACTTTTTTGGGGTTCAAGTAGAAGCACCGAGATCCAGAATTTGAAATCTGTTTAATTAACTGGTTCCATAAATATTTTACATAAGTTTTTGTTGGAGACAACATGAAATTGTCTGGCCATGAATATCATCAATTTTTTATTGAAAACAATTAGTTATAAAACGATCAGCTACTTGAAAATTTTATGTTTTTTTTTTTTAAATCAATTATATAAAATCTCAATGCGCTCTTTTTTATATTTTGACTGCTACTTGAGCTATCTATATCACTGTATTTTATTTATTTATTTATATATGCATATATTTTTGTAACTTTTTTGTATGTTTCGGGTAGGGAGGTCCTTTAAAGTTGAAATCATTTGAGCTATACATGTCATAGCCCTGATGTTCAGTGTGCTAAAATACTGTTAAGAAATCACTGTATAAATTGTATGGTACAAATATCTATTAAAGTTAACCTCATTTTTTTTTCATGTTAATTAAATAAGTAATGAAAAAAAAACCGGTTTGATATTAAAAACTATTATAATGAAAGACAGTTTGTTTAATTGGAAACAGTGGTAATTAGGTACTTTGTGATTGAGGTTTTACTGTACTAAAAACAAAATAGCAAATAATAAAAGTAAATATATCGCCTATATCATTAAAATTTAATTACACTTAGATTAATTCTATTACTGCTTTAACTGTGTCATTCCAAGAATTAGTAGGTCATTCATTATATGATACCTATTCGCTTATCATGTCATAACATTCCTTGATGTTACAAGGAGAGGTTATGTGTGTTAGGTTTAAAAAATGGCATGTATTTATGTTTAATGAAGACAATAATGTAGAAAGAACATATGCATTATTACGTTAGGCTGATCCACTGGTATAAATTATAAAATATAATTGATTCTGTTCGATATTTGTGATGAAAACAAAACATCTTTTTGCCATTAAGCTGTTTTGTCTTTTATAAAATTATTTTGTGATATTGATTAAGTTCGATTTTTTTTTTCGTTATTCTTTTAAGATTCTGTGTAATAGTCTAATTATTTTTCAATGTTTTTAAATCTTACTTATTTCAATTAATTATTTAATATTAATGAATATAGTAGGACCTCTTATAACATAAAAGATGCATTTTATTTTCTTACTAAAAAATAGCTGTTACTTTCCTACTGCTACTAAATAAGGAAAGGATTGTAATCTGGTTAAATTTATAGACTTTAGTTTTCAACATATTTTTTTTTCAGAGCCCTCTAAGTCAAAAAATAAAAAGCACTTTGAGCGATTGGTTCATCAGGGCCACAATGAATGAGTTTACTATTTTTAAAATTTATTTTATTATTATTATTATTATTTAAAAAATCTTTTGATTGAAGCCATTGGTGTTATGTAAATTGTGTTATAGGGGGTCACTCTGTAAGCTGTAATGACAGCTTTAAAAAAAGTAATCAAACAACAAATGATATTTAAGTGATAAAAAGATACTCTTAGTTTTAGGATTTCATTAGTGTTAAGTTTTATTGTTTAAGGTGGTCATGACATATGATTTATTTTATCAAATCAAACATTTGTAACTTTCCTATTTCAATGTATAATTCTATTGGTCATTGTTATTGCTTGAGGATTTTGAAAAATAATGCCATAACATGTTTTCTGTTTTTCAGACTGTAATTTTTGTTTCGTCAAAGATAGTAAATCATTTTTTATATTTTTCTTCATTATTCAAGGAAAATGATTAAAGAATGTTCCAACGTCGTGTAATATTCAGTGTTTCTACACTTTAAGAGATCACAAGGTTTTATAATGATACTCAAAAATGTCAGGGCTGGAACTAGGGAGGGGAAACTTGCCACAGGCAGCAAATTTCGAGAATGTTTTATTAGCTTAAGTCAAGAACATTGATTATTACTTTTTAATTGGGTTGTTATCGATTCAGTCCATGACCTAAGTTAGTATTATTTGATGATGATATTTATTTTTAAATACATTACCTAAAATACTGATATAAAGTTTTTTCTCTCTTATCTCACCATTTCGGATGTATGGGGTTATTGTAATATTATGTAGGCTATTATATATAAATATAATGATTATATGCGGATAATCATGCGGTGGCTCAATGGGAGAGTTAAAAGCATGCGGTACCGGGACTCGAACTTGTAATCTTCAGTTTATCAAGCAACATGTGTTTGGTCCACACATTTGCCCGCTCAGCCACTCCACCCCTTGATATGGAACGTTGACTTTTATTGGAGTATGGTGGGAGGTGGGAGGTGAATAAAGAGGCGGCTAAGTGAATTTTGCTCCTCATGCCAAAAATCCTAGTTCTGGCTTTGCATAAAGTTAGTGGAGCAGAAAAAAAATAGCACTTATTTTCAATGTCTGGTTTAAAATGTTATATGATGACCAAAAGGATTTTAAATTTAGGTGAAAGATTTTTTTTCTAAATGGTATATAGTTTTAGTTAGGCTATAATTTTTTTTTCTTTCACTAATTACATGGCTGTAGCCTTAGTAATTTTTTTCTTTTTTATTTAATATTAAATATTTTTTTAATATGAAACGTCGGGTACCCATAATATTATTTTAGTTGTAGCTATTACTGTAGATAAATTTAATTTTTTTTCTGTACTTCGAGGTCTATGTATGTTTTAAATGACTGAACTATTCAGTATCATATTAATTAAATTAAATGTGTAAGTTATATCGAATACAAACCGCCGAAATACAAAATGAAAATTGTTGTTAATATATATGTTTATTATTTTTATTTCTTGTACATTTATGCTAGAGCAGAGTTCTATCTTTCTCTTTTCTATAGGCCCCTTTTCTCTGGACCTATTGTTAAAAGTATTACTACTTAAACATTCAATAAGATCTTTATCTTTTTTTTTTTATATCCTAAAGCATTTTACGATTAAGTTGTAGTGTAAACGTTTTCGAACCTGTCCGTCCATTTGTTCAGCACATTCTTAAATACTTATTTTTAGTAATATACTTACTCTTTCTTCTTAAAACGAATGTATTCATTATTGTTACTTGAAACTTAGATTTGGTTTTGCTATTGCACAATATGATTCACCTAATTTATCGCCTGTCAATCATCTATTTATTTAAATTAATTTGGTGTAATAGTGCAAAATGGAAAGCTATGTAATTCAGTGATGGTCTTCCAGATTCTAGGCTAGAAAGAATATTTGAAATTCTTTGTTTCACTTTTATGTTTACAGTTGATTCTTGATAACTTAAACCTCAATTTTTTACCTCTTATCCTTTGAGAAAACCTTGTTTAGTTAAAATAACATAATGGCAGGTTAATTCGTGTCCTATTATTCACAATTTTTCCAATAATTTGTTGCTCAATTTTATTTATTCTAAAGGAGTACATTATTTACTTCTTTCGTTCGTAATATTCAAAAGATAACTTGATTATGTATTACCTCATTGACTTAAAATATTTAAACTTAATCTCCATTTTTTCAAATTATTTTTAAATTAAACCAGACTTACTCAAAGTTTTTTATCTATTATTTTCTTGAAATTTGAGTTATTGAAAGTTTACTGTAATTCTGTTTTTCATTATTGCTGTTATGTATTATTATTTTTATTGGAAACAAATCCAGTTAAATATATATATATATATATAATGTGAACATTAATTAGATAGCACAAATATTTTGATCTTGAATATTTCCTTACAAATTATTATTTGAAGGTAACAAAAAAATCTGTTTAAGTGTGAGTGTTTTTTGAAGTATTTTATCAACTGATATTTGGCTACTTAAGAAACTGCCAACAATTTAATTTTATCTAAATTGAAGATTTGACAGGAATATCCGACCAAAAAAGAAATTCCTCTATTCAAAATAAATTTACTATTAATATAAATCTCATATCCAATTTTCTATCTAGCATGCTCATCTATACTTATCACTTAGCTAAAATAGGTTACCTCGTTATTATTTCGTAGGACTGATATCAGATTAGATGTGAATACAGCAATGTATTGACATTTTAACTGTTAAATTTATGTATTCATAATATTGTTGAAACAGGAATGTAAGAAACTGCTCATTTCATTAAGAAGCTTCAACATTTTCATTCTGGATAAAATTTACATTAAATGTTATTAAATTTTAGGTCGACAGATTATGAATTCTTTGATGTTATGTTTGTAATATATATTGAATCTCAAGTACACGCCTTTTCATTTTTTCCTCCTCTTATAAACTGAAATTCTATTGATAAAGATGTTATATTTTAATCTATCATTTCTTCCGTTTGATCTTTTAAAAAATATGTAAAGTGAAAATTGATAAGTAGGAAAATATAAAAAATGCATCCTTTTCAGTTTAATAAGTTATTGGAGTTTCAGTGAGTGAGATCATCATGACAAGCCTTTGGTTCAGAGCTTGAGGAATCCATGCTGAGTTCTTCATAGCTGCTAAGGAGTTCATAGAGTACTTGCTGTTGGCATTAAGGATGCACCTATATTTGCTGAGAACTGATCCTTGAGTCTTGGGACATCATTCATCATCACATGCATGGTAACTAATGTTATAAATTTAATTATATAGATTCTCATTTTATACATTTAAATATTTGTTGATTTTTTATACAATTTTAATTTAGCTACATACCTCAGTCCAATAAATTCAAGAGGATACACCCCTTAATAAATAATGAGCATCCATTAGTCAGTGGAATAATTCACATCTGTGTTGAAGTAGTTGTTGTAAAATTAGTGTTCTAAATACTTCATCAAAATAAAATTATATTAATCTATCTCTGGTTACTCAGTCAAGCCCACATAGTATGAGGTGATATGAAATATTCTACTGAAGTAGAATCAACAACCAAGAAACAAATGGTAAATGGATAAAAGAACAAAATAAAAGATTACAATTGTGCTTTATCTTGTTTGAGCAACTGAATAAACAGTGGTCAAAGTTTAACAAACGGCTAGACTTTTGGTTCCATGTCTCGGGATTTGAGTAAACATCTAGTTATTTAGTGAAATCATTGTATTTATCGTTGGCATTTATACCTTAACAGGCCCAGGTATAGGTGGCTCTGTGATATTTAGTATAATATTTACACAATCACTTTATTGATTTTTTATTTAAATAAAATTACTCAATGGCTTTGAATTGTCTGTTGCACCTGGTGGTCTCATGCCTTCCACGTTTAATATTTATCACGTTAGCTATTTATAATGACTTTTCTACTCTTTTGTCAACAATATTTCCTTGGATCTCTCAATGGTAGTTCTCAGTCAGATGAATTTTAGGACTGGCTTCATTTCCTTAAAGGAAGGATTTTAGTTTTAGTTACTTTGAACTAATATATTAAAATATAAAAAACTGCAGCTGAATATTAATTTTAGGGTTCTTAAAACTTACAAAAGCAGAAAATGAATAAAATTATAATGTAGAAAGATCAGCCACTATTCTGCAAGGACCTCCAGTTCCGTTCTTTATCTTCATTGGAAGAGAATAAACTGTGAAATTCCTGTTTGGCAAGGGGTGTATTATAGCTAAGTTTTCTAGCAAATATAAATTCTTTGAGGTCAATTCAAGATGTGCTTCAACATTTAATCCTTGATCTGTTGAGGGGGTGTCGACACCAACTCCGACAATCTAAAACACAGAAATTACTTATGGTTCATAAATAAAGATTAATTTTAAAAATAAAAATTGGTAATTTTTAAACTGATCTAATTTATAACCAAATGTATTAAAAATAATCTAATACAAAATAGTTTTTACTTTTTAAAATATAGATACCTTTTCAGACTTGGTTATCCATTCTGCAGCCTCTTTTGATAGTCCAGGAAAACAAAGTTTATCAGATGATGGCCCAAAATATTCCGTTTTATTATTGTATCTGTGAATATTAGGAAAAATATAAAAGAAAGAGATAACAAAATTATCAACATGTGCAAAATTCTTGGTTCTTGGACTTCCAAGGTGTCAGGTAAGAGTTGGACTATTAACAATTATTGGATTATCAGTCAATGAATTATTATGGAGGAGGAAAATGGGAGGAACACAATTTTTGACTTTAGAAATTTGCTCTGCCTAGTAAGGAGTTAAACATATGAAAAGTCTCCACTCTTAGAAGGGAGGGGGCATCCAGAAGTTCACTTTTTTCGGTTCTATCAGGGAAACCATGCTTTCTAGTGATTTTATGTAACAATACTTGTGAATATGCGATATTCTTTGTTGTTCCATTCTTTGTATAGATATAAAGATTGTCTGGTTTTCCAACTCTAGAATTCGCAACATATAGTTGTCTATATAAGAAGCAGTCGGTCTCTAAATCTCTCACAAAAAATTACTAAATGTATAAAGTATTATATCTCTGCACCAAATCATCCGATTTGAGTGATTTTTTTTTTTTTTTAATTTGCAGGGAATCAAAGAAGTTTTCAAATAATGATGGGTATAATCAAACAAATATTGTGTACTTTTTGAGGTATTCACAAATAGTTTTGCACCCATCGTAACTTTTTTTTTCATACTCTTTTCGGGGAAGGATGTTATATACATAAATTAAAAGGGCTTCAAGGAGAAGACTTTAGCCAAGTTTAATGAAAATCGTTACAGCCGTTTAGGCGCTGCAGTCTATAGCGACACAGATTTTTGGCCCGTCATTCCGAAATGAAAGACCCGTGGGTGATAAAAACACTCCTGAATGTGATAGAAACATTATGTCAATATTTCAAAGCAATCGGTAAAGAATTTTCGGAGATCAGAGCTTTTGAACAAACAAACATTTACGTTTTTATTAATATAGATTAATGAGTAAGCAAATGGGTATTTACGAGTTTTTAGTACCTAATTAAATAGACAAAGTTTATCAATCTTCAGATTGAAAATCCCCCCGACTCTAAATATTTTCATAAATAAAATAGCTGTAAGTTATGATGAGATGAATCTATTTATCAAGTTTGAGGCAGATGTTAATAATTTGATGAAAAGGGGTCTGTATCACGGACTAATATTTCATGTGATAAAAGAAAATTTTATTTCAGTATTTATTATTAAATTATAGTATCATTATTAATTAATTTTGTAAAAAAATTATAAATAAATAAATGTGTTGTATTTTATAAAAAAACAATGCTTGTTATGCAATGAACAAAAATATTAAATATTGAAAGAGAGGAAGGGAGGCATAATATTATATTGCCCCATCCTCACCTGAAAGCTGTGGTGTTGTTGTAATAAAAAAAATTAGATTAAGGTACTGTGGAATAAAATATGTTTTACCTGACATATATACAAAATCTGAAGTCTTTGTTTCTTTAAAGATATATTGGGTATTTTTTAATTCTATTTTCTTTTTACCTTTCTTTATTAAGGAATAACATTGATAATCAATACTGAATATAATTTGACAGTAAGCTAAAATTAGAAAACAACTGTAATTTTAAGGTTTATATAGCAAATAAAATACATCTTATTTTTAAAAGAGTCAAACTTAATCGTCTGCTAGAAAGGATTTGGAATATATAATCAGACCTTCCAAATCCTCTGTTCATTAATTTATTACAATAGCATAGCCAATTTACAAGAACTTGTTCAATTCAATAAAAATGGGTTTTGGTTGCCAATACTTCTTAATTAATAGAATAAACTTACCTTGATGCCCAACCAAAGCTAATGAGCAGAACAGAATTATTTGGAAATTCTCCATTTTGATTCTCCCACTTTTCAAGTTCCTTAGTTGATAATGTAAAAGAACAATTTCCATTTGTTTCCAAAGAAGCATTTAAGAAAACACCTAACAGAATATGTCAATATAGTAATTTGTTTTTGTTATTAGTTTAATATTAATAAATATTATTTGGAGAATTAGCATATAAGTCACCACCTGTTGTTATCAATCTGTCTAAAGGTATTTCATCCACTTTCCATCCTAATTTATTGAAATGGTAGGGAGCATCAAGATGAGTTCCACAATGTTCTGCGGTCTCAAATTGATTGGCTGCATACCAATATCCATCGTCTACATTTGCTGTTTTTTTAATAAACCTGGAAAACAATATATAACTGCTGATACAAACATAATATTTAGGGAAAAATTATTTCTATATGTACTACAAAATTAGGCTCATTGTGATAAGTAAAAAATATTGTTTTCAGAAGCAATCAAGTACAGTAAACTTTATTTTATATGCACTCTATTAAATGGACAAAGCTCTTATCTTACCTTACCAGATGAAAAAAAGTTATGGCATATGTTTTCAAATTTGAAAAAAAAAATTAATTTTTACAAATATAATAACCAATTTACTAAACTTTTAGTGATACAAAATAAAACTTAAATAATATAATTTAAAACTTCCGTATTTTTCCGCTTTATTCATTTATAAATCCAATCATAGTTAAAGTTTTGGGGCCATGCTCCCCATCTCCAGAAACATATTACTCTAATCGCTAAATAGGCAGAAATAAGTTTGATTATCTTGTCACTACATTCATAATTTATTATTACTTGAATGCATACATAGTTCTTATTAGAGCCCTTTCTGTTGTTCTATAAATCGTTTATAGGTTAATAAACAGTTTACTATCAACTTTGATTTAATGTTATTAGTAAAAGAAGAATCAATCATCTATGAACTATTTTAAAATAATTAACTTATTTATCAAGACATAGTCAGAATGGGAGAGCTATTGTTTAAAAGAAGGAGGATAATTATTTTCTTTCTTAAAATAATGAAATACTTAACCACGAGGCCCTGAACTGGGAAGAACACTGAACCCAGGTGATGCGTGATTGAAGTAGAATAGAAGATCTCAGGAAACCACGAATGAAGCAGAGAAATTTGGCAGCAGTGGTGTTTTGCATATGAGCTTGTTGCTACTATTGCCAAATACCATTCCAAGGAATACTTGACAATGGCAGGAAGGATATAGCCTCTTTCACTCTTCATAAAAAAGAGGAGAGAGAGGGGTCCCGAAGATAAATCGTTTATCAAGCAATTTATCAAACAATTTAGATTCACCTTGAAAACCCCAGAGACATCTCCATATACCATACAGCAATAGTTAAAGTGTGTAAATATTAAGGAAGTGATCAGAGATATACGGGTTTCAAATGAAAATAGGTGATGGAGGTAATTTAAACATTCTAAAGTGGAAAAAGCATGTCGGAAGATATTGGATACATGGTTTTCCAGGAAAGGGTTTAATCAAAGGTTGTTCCAAGGTTTTTAATGGTGGGATAAAATTTGATGGGGTTATTATGTAGAAATAGGGTTGGAATTTCAGGAACAGTTTTCCTTCTTCTTCTGCGACTTTAACTTTAACTTGTTAGCTTCTGTCCAGTCACAGATTCTATTTAAGTCATCTTGAAGTTTTTTTGTGGCTGGTAATAGGTCAGAAGGAGAGAAGTACAGGTATATTTGGAAATCATCTGCATAGATATGGTATTGAGAGTGATGAATCAGAAGGGAAAGGTCATTAATGCAAATAGCAAACAGAGTAGGGAAAAGGAAGGAAGGAACTCCGAGGGACACCACAGGAGAGAAGAAGTGTCTCAGAAACAGGTTGACCTGGGATGACTATTTATTGGTATCAATTTGAGAGAAAGGATTTGAACCAATGCAGGACACTTTTAGACAGAGGAAAATTTTGCAGTTTAGTAAGGAGGGAGGATGTTGTGGTCAACTGTGTCAATTGCTTTGGAAAATCTAGGAGGGTGAGGACAGTAAATAAAATGAGCTAATTTACTTAACAAAAAGTAATAAACTATGAGGTTTAAACTTATTTTCTTTAGTAGTACTTGTTTATATTCAGGGTAATATATTCATACACATTTCCATTTCTTCTATTTGATTATTTTATAATCAAGAAAGATTTCAAATTATGCTCCAGATCATAACAGATAGTATACCTTTACATAAATTTAATTTTACATTCTGTAAATTCCTAACTAAATTTTTAGTGTAGAATATAAACACTGCTGTCACAGGGTTGCCTATAAAATATTTTACAGATCTATACCCCATTTCTGATCAGTATGTTATTTTACGTAATGAAGAAGCAAGAAAAAACATTTGCAATAAAACAAAAGAAAGTTGATTTTGAACATTAATGAAGCCTGATCTGAGAAAACTTCCATCAAAAAGACTTGAAAAATCACAAAATAACATTACCTGAAAGGTATATCAGAAGGAATCCAATATGCAGTATCTTCGTCATATGGGTAACTCAAATCTATTTTTTTGCCATTGGCAAAAGATAGTATAAGCATCATAAACAGCAACATCTTCAGCACAAATAAATATTTAATGTATTAATTTCATATTAATATATATTTATCAAAAATAAATATGTTAAATATTGACAATACTTTTGTATGGGTATTAGCAATGTGAGGAAATATAATTGTTAATATGTGAGGTAACTGTTCTTATGAAAATCTGAATTTCAAAAAGAAATATTCATTAAGGAGGTATATATAGTTATGGTTTAGAAACATCCTAAAATTATAGAAGCTATCCTTTTTATGCAAACAAATCATGAGTGTATTGATTTAGCTTTCTTTATTGACTTGTTATTAGACAAAGTTGTATTAGAATCAGTGAAGCTCTGTTACTACTTCGTCATTCCTTAAACAGTTTAGTTCTGCACATAAACAATTTTTTTTTTAAATAGTTATCTTATATCATGTTTTGATTAAAAACTGAGGGGCAAGGCTTATTATTGGATAATTAAAAATCAGATAGAAAAATATTACCTGCATATTAATGAAAAGTGTGGATATTTCAAAAATCAATTATTAACGAATTGGTTCCCAAATTTTTGTATGAATGTTTAGCATCAGCGCTAATAATTAACAACTATTGTGGAGCCAAGCCTTTAACGACTTACATAAACTGGCCGTCATCAGTTAATTGTTTTCCAATTTTCATATGAATGGTTATATCATCTGATGAATACGCCTAATGAGGGAACATTTACTTATGTATCTATGTCATGAGATAGCAGTGTTTATTATAGACAATGGGTTTGCGACCAACTCAGCATTTTATAAATTCATTTGACAGTAACAAAATATCATTCATTAATGTAAAATTATTTTTACGTAATTAATGTAAAACTGTTGGTGTAAGCAAAAAATGTTAAAAACATTTGGTTTCAAAGGTACCTTAATTAACCTTAAATTTAGAAAAAAATATATTTAAAAAATTATGATTTAAAATATCTAAATGTTAATATTCATTTTACATATTTTTAATTGAACCCAATACCACTCAAAAGTGATTTATCCATTATTCTTTTGAAATTTGATTTATTAAGATTTGTCTCTAATTCTGTTTTTCACTTTTGCTTATATCTACCAATATTTATTATTATTTTTATTTAAAACAAATCCAGTCGAACACTATATATTTTTTTTCTAAATGTCATCATACAAATATTTTTGTCTCGAATGTATCCTTATAAATTATTATTTGGTGACACCAAATAAATCTGATTAAGTGAGAGTGTTTTTGATGAATTTCATCAATTGATATTCATTTCATTTTATCTAAATTGAATATTTGATATAAATAAATGACCAACATAGAAATCCCTTTATTCAAAATTAATTTCCTATGTGGTGTGGCAAGAATCCAAGGTCTCTAAAATTACCTATTTCGCTCAGAGGTAAAATGGTGGGGAGGAATCAAGTTTTGACGTAAACACTTGACCACTATTACCTCTCCATCTCTTGTTTCTGGATATTTTAAGATTACTATTTAGCTTTCTTTATGAAATAAATACTTTAACATGTAATAATTTATTAATAATAATAATAATAAATTAAAAAAGTAAGAGAAAGGTTCCTTCGATATTTTGTGTATTCTCAAGCAATTAAAATGTAATTTAACAAGTTGATGCTATAAGTAAACTTTTTTTTCATAGATATGAAATACTATATTTTTTTACTATTTAAAATAAATATAAAATATGACCTTCTTATGTCATAAGTGATTCTACTTTGTGATTTTATTTGCAAGATTTATTTTTTGTTTCTTTACAATTACTGGAATATTCTCTGGATATTTAAAAATTTTATTCTTATACATATATGTTTTTGAAAGAAAACCTTCACTAGGCCTCTTTTAATTTCTAAATTTTCTTCTCTTAGAAAAAAATTAGACAACTTTTTTACAATGTTATTTTTTTCTAATGATATTTTTTTATTATATTTAATAAAAAATTGATCCAACTTCCAACAAGAGTTATATTATTATGAAAAATGCAATAGACATCAACAACAAACATATTCTCTGTAACCTATTTTTAAAAAATCATTATATTATTAATATAATATCATTATATTGTCTGATATTGGAAATCAGACATTGGACCAAGCTTATTTTATCATATTGACTTGCCCAATTTTTTCGGCAGAAAAGATATTGCTGAAGAGGAGGACACAGATTCCATGAAACGCATAATAAATAATTATCAGAAGTTAATTTTGAATTTTATTACACTGTCCTGTAAGGCATACACTTAAGTGTGAATAGACTTTAAAATATAATGGTCAAAATTTAAAAACTTTGGAATATCATCATATTATTAAAAGAAATACTCACAAGATCTATAAACTAAATTAAACATAAGGTGTGCTACAATTTTCTTTTGTTTATTTAAAAAAATATAATCATTCATTTATTTTATTTAGTTTTTATATTTACTTTTTGTTTACAGTAAGTGATTTTAAATAAAGAATTTTTTAAAAAATAATTAATATCAATTTATCTCTTTCCATTTCTGGTCTGGCCTGTGGTTCTGATAACATTTTATTCTAGATTATTGATGATTTTTATTTATTTACGTTTTTGAAATTCTCTTCAATCCAATGTCAACAAGAAACAAGAGTATTCTCTTCAATAAATTAAACAAGAGCGCAAAAATAGAAAAAAAAAAAAAAAAGAAGCACAATAATATTCAATTTAACTTACAGTGACTGGCTTGGAAGAGCAACACAGAGGTTTGGCGGTCTAGTGCTCACGTCACGATTCAAGTCCCCCCACTATGCATTTTAGAATGAGCCTACCTGGTAATTTTACAGACCTTGACCTGAGTCCTCTGTAGTGTGAAATTAATGACTCTTATACCTCTTCTCCATTTTATAAACATGCATTTATAAAAGCCGATTTAATAAATTTTAAACTTACTATTTTTATTCAGAAACAATAGAATGAATGAAACGATTGAAAGGTATTTCTTGGGTGAAAGTTTTGAAGCTGGTAACATTACTCTAAGCTAAAAAGTAAAAGATACTTACTGGCATGAGCTATGCGCCAGCAACTCGTGATGTAGCCGTATCTCTTTCCTGTCCAGTTTTCTTTAACACTAATTATCTTTTCAAGTATGGATCAGAAAAATTGGGGACTTATTGCATTTTTCTTGTTTTGACCTAATCTTGACGAAACGATAAAAATTGAAACTTCATGCAGTATTTATATTTTGTCCTTATACTTTATTCATAGATATAAAGCATGAAAAGTTTTCTTTTCCGTATATGTCAATTTATTCTGTTCAACGTTTCAAACTTTTTGTCCATCTTCAGAGACATCACTACATTTCACTTCTCAATGTTTTTCCTTTATCTCCTGTTCTAACAATGCATGTTATTAGCATTCATCTTTTTTTTTCTATTCTATCTAATACTTTTATACCACACTTAGTCATTATCATATATAAGAAGAAATTTATTTATTTTAAGTATTTGAGAATTAAGAGTTGTTTATATATAAATTATGAATATGAAAATGTATAATTATTGGACTATAATTATAGAATATATTGTTTTCAATATTTAAAAACACAATTCTTGATGGACTTACAATATTCTGTATACTACAGCTTCCCCTTAAACTTGGACATCATTCAATTAACTGTTTATTTCTACATTATTAGGGATTTAATATAAATCAGGCATAAATTTACAATATGAAATATTTTTTCATAAAATAATTACTTCATTAAAATCCATTATATTTTAAGAGGGGTATCCCCCTCCAAAATCTAAATTAAATTCTTTATTCCAAATTATTTACTATAATAACAGAAATAATTTACAACGACAAAAATAACAAAAATTTACTTGGCCTAATTTGCAATTCTTTTTGTTTTTTATAATTTATAATACATTTAAATTAATTAATACTATCGGCTGTTAATTATTAGTAATTTTCACATTTTAAAATAAAGGGGGAGCAAGGTAGCTAAGCAAGGCACTGTCCCCCTATGCTCTAGAAGCCAAGTTCAAGTCCTTTCTAAGGCATAATTATTTATTCTGCTGTATCAGATGTTGGGGTTGGGAGTCCCTCCTGCAGTACACTCAGATTCAACAAAGTGGGTACTATTAATTAAATTAAATAATTAAGAGGAAAAACCTGGTGGTAAAGTGCACGGGCGGATCTGCGGAGTGAGTGAGGGAGAGGGAAGGCTTTCGGGCTGAAGCCCCTCCCAAGATGGTAAAATATAATTATGTTTTATCGAAAAAAATTATCTGTTAAAGTATAATTATTCGTATAACTACATTTAAAAGGGCTTTAGGAATCACTTAAACACCAGTTCATGTAGGTAGTTAGTTTCTTTCTTATTTTCTTAAGTAATTATCGTTATTTTTATTTAAAAAAAAGCTTTCGGGCTGAAGCCTCTCTCCCCCAAAATGGTAAAATATAACTATGTTTTATCGAAAAAAATATAAAAAAATTATCTCTTAAAGTATAATTATTCGTGTAATTACATTTAAGAGGGCTTTAGGAATCACTTAAACACCAGTTCATATAGGTAGTTAGTTTCTTTCTTATTTTCCAAAGTAATTATCGTTATTTTTATGGAAAAAAAAAACCTTTCGGGCTGAAGCCCCCCCAAAATTAAATCCTGGATCCGCTAGTGGTCAAGTGTTATTTTGGTGGTCACTTCCTTCCGCAACCGCTTACCAAGAAACAGTACTGAATCTTGGAGTCTCTCGATGGGTTGTAGCGGTAAAGGATTTTTTTTCACAAAAAAAATATTGACAAGTATATAACTTTGAAATAAAAAAAACATTAAAAATTGTTGAAATCATATAAAATAATTTTTTTTTCTGCTTCCAAGTCCCACTGAAACAAATACTAGAATATGTGACCAATCTTTTTCAATGTATAATCACCAAAAGATAATTTAGTTGAAATCAGTGATTTACTAAATGTGACCTTTGTCAGTGAAATCTTAGAGAGAACATAAGCATTTCAGAACTTAATATTTTTCTAAAGTATATAGATATAGGAAAATTAAAATAAAAAAATTACCAACTAAAACTTAAGTCATTGATTCAAAACTTCTTTATCAGAAATAGCCTAAATATTGGATAGATTAAGTGATCAATATCATTAAGCTGTTACATTTTCTTGTTTATGTGATATCTTTAGTAAATTACTATTATCTAAATAAAACACGAGATTATGCCAAACTTATTTATTTTCACATTTTAATACTTAAGTAGTATGAGATCTACATTGAACTTATACATTCAAAAATAAAAAAATTTAGCTGAATATTAATTTTCGATTTCTTAAAACTAATAAAAGAATAAAATGAAAAAAATTAGATTGTGGAAAGATCAAATAATAGCCACTATTCTGCAAGGACCACCAGTTCCACCCCTTATCTTAATTGGAAGAGAACAAATTGTGAAATTCCTATTTGGTAAAGGGTGTGTTATAGCTACGTTCTCAAGCATATATAAATTCTTTGAATTCAGTTCAATATGTGCTTCATTATTTAATCCTTGATCTATTGAGGGGGTGTCGAGACCAACTCCGACTATCTAAAACACAGAGATTACTTATGGTTCATTAATAAAGATTAATTTTTAAACTGATATAATTTAATAACCAAATGTATAATATTACTACCAAATGTATTAAAAATAATCTTGTGCAAAATAATTTTTACTTTTTAAAATATTGATACCTTTTTAGACTTGGTTATCCATTCTGCAGCCTCTTTTGATAAACCAGGGAAACAAAGTTTATCAGATGATGGCCCGAGATATTCCGTTTTATTGTTATATCTGTGAATAATAGGAAAAATACATTAAAGAAAGTGATAACTACAAAATTATCAACCGGTGCAAAATATTTGGTTCTCGGGCTACCAAGGTAAGAGCAAATAGTATACTCGATGAATGATTACGGAGGGAAATGGAAAGAACACAATTTTTAACTTTATGACTTGGCTCAGCCTAGTAAGGATGTGAACATACTAAAAGTCTCCACTCTTAGAAGGTCACTTTTTTTGGTTATATTAGGGAAACCAAACTTGCTAGAGATAAAGACATTCTGTATAAAATTAAAGCTGATAAATTTTACAGCAAGATTGATGAGATCTAGATTTTCGCTATCTAGAATAGTTTCTGAAATAATCGTACTCAATATTCTGTAATTTTGAGCAAAAAAAGTTTGTTGCCTCACGTTTTTATCTTTGTTTCACTAGACAACTCTTTATCTCTTCATTCTATAAAATACTTTTAGAAAGGAAAGTTGTTGAACACTAAATTTTCTTCAAAAATTAATGAATTATTGTACTATCTTATTTTCAAAAGTTAGAGTAATAATAACTTTATGTGTTAATTCCCAATCATTTTTTAAGATAAGATAATTTTTCTGGCATCACTACCCAAATGATGCCTGCTCCAACAAGGATTGCCAGTCCTTTCTATTGCATGCCACTGCCTTTTAAGTCCTTAAAACAATCAGTTTTTCAGAGTCTGTAGCCACATAATCTTCCCGATGAAACTTGAGACATCCTGCTTGCCTTGTACCATATACTCGCTCTGACAAAATTTTTAATCAGATTTCTCATAGCATGACCAGCCCAGTGGAATCGTTTGAATTTAAGGAAGCTAATGATATTGATGTCTTTATAGATCAGAATTTGTATATATTCTCCAGGAGCCCTGTTCACAAAAACCTCCTATGGAGCACTTTCTTTTTGAATCTCAGAAGGGCTTGTTCTTGGTTCTTGGGCTTTAGTCATCATCCAAAATTTTGAGTTGTATGTGAGCTCCAAGATTAGATAATACAATAATATATATTCTTAAAGAAAATTTAATGCTCATTAGTAATATAGTTCGAACAACTTCACCCTGGAATACGTAGAGGAATATGTTTACTTGGGACAGTTAGTTTCCTTTTCAGACAGAATTAAAAAAGAAGTCCAGAGAAGAATAGCATTTGGTTGGAACAAGTTCTGGTCTCTGAAGTACACAACAAAAGGAAACATAAGTATCGAATTAAAAAGGCTAGTTTTCGATAGATGTATTATGCCAGTGGTGACCTACGGCTCCCAAATATGGTCATTGACAAAAGCCCAAGAGAGGAAGATCAAAGTGTGGCAAAATAGCATCGAGAGAAGCATTGTGAAAGTGAAGAAGATAGATAAAATCAGATGCAAGAAGATAAAAGAAGAAACAGGGCTCAAAGACACACTCTCGCTAATAAGAAAAGTCAAATAGAAATGGGCTGGACATCACCTGCTACCTGCTACCTGCTATAGATGTTCAAAAATAGTCACCGAATGGACTCCATATGACCGGAAAAGGATGAGAGGCCGACAAATCAAGAGATGGAGAGATCCATTTAGGCTTTTGGTTGGACCTCTCTGGTGGAGAGCAGATAGAGACAGAGATGTGTGGAAAGAAAAATGGTTAAATGTCAGAAATCCCGCTTTCCAGTAGGGCTAGTCACCCAGGGAAGTGTTAAAGACTATTACTCGTAATGGAAGGCCTATGCAAGCATAGTAAAAAGCTTTTTATAAGTTATAATAATGTAATAAAAAAAAAAATTGTTTTGTTTTCTTTTGTAATTGTATGTTTTCATAGAAAAAGTAATATTTATGCATAAATAAAGGCTATATTCATTTCATTTAAGGAATATAGTTCAAGTGATAAAGGAACATTTTACTTCAGTATTTATTATTAACTTCCCATTCGAATCTTAGCTGATGGCAGATAAATTATTTATTCTTCTTTTTTTCTAGGAAGTTGTCTATTTATTTGCGTTGTTTGGCAATGGCAACGTTTCGGGACATTTATTCCCATCTTCAGAACTGCAATCCCAATACTCTTGTGGATGCAAGGCTTAAATTTAATAATAATAATAATAATAATGTGCTCCATCGTCAAATTTCTAATTCATGTTCTAAGTAGTAATATGACTATGGCAGAAACCCAATTATTGCTCAAAAGGAGGATGTCGCTCTAGATGATGCATTTTAGAACATGAATTAGAAATTTGACGATGGAGCACATTATTATTATTATTATTAAATTTAAGCCTTGCATCCACAAGAGTATTGGGATTACAGTTCTGAAGATGGGAATAAATGTTCCGAAACGTCAACTAACTTGTTAACATGTAACGTTGATAATAAAATATACTCAATTGTTACCAACTTGGGCGGGGTGGCTGTATTGGCTAAAGCGTGTGCACAGCACCGTGAGTTGCCTGGCAACCGTATTACAGATTTGTGAAGGTTTAAAAAGTACGAGTTCGCGTCCCATTGCCGGAGGGGATTTTAAATTCCCCGCCCTCACCTTCCCCCCCCCCTCCCGGCCCGGGAAAATCCCGTATAGCCTAAAAGGCGAGGTAGGGAAGAACATTAAAAAAAAAAAAAATTGTTGATCAGCTGTGGAATGACCCTAGGGTTGGGGGACTCCAGAGGCTTACCCAGCCTCTATTAAGTGGTTACCTTTGGTTAAAATAATTGATTAAGGAGGAAAACCTGGCGGTTGAGCGTAATCTCAGTCAAATCACCTCCTTACAAAATCATTGAGTAAGGAATTCTCAATACACCAAGAAACAGTACTTCCTTACTAAGTACTGAACCCAAGATCCTTCTTGGTTGTACTTGTATAGGTTTTTTTTTAAAATTTATTATTAAATTATAATATCATTATTAAGTAATTTTGTAAAAAAAAAGTGTTGGCCCATCTTGGTCGCAACAAAATCTGAAATCTTTGTTTCTTTCAAAATATATTCGACATTCTTTTAATTCTATTTTTTTTTTCTTTCCATATTTAATCAACAGAAAAGTTAATATATTATGTTTGGTATTCTACATGAAAACAAATTAGTTAACAAGACAAAAGGTGTGAAAGAAATGATAAAAAATAAAAATTTTGTAGGAAAGGATTAACATTGATAATTCATACTGAATATGCTTTGATAAGAAGTAAAAGTGAGGAAACTCTTGTAATTTAAAGCTATATATAACAATAAAAGTACTCAAGAATACAACTTATTTTCAAAAGGAATTAGAAAATATAATCAGACCTTCAAAATACTCAGTTTATTAGTTAATTACAACAGTATAGCCAATCACAAGAACTTGTTCAATTCAATAAAACTACACTTAGGTTTCAAGCACTTCTTAGTTAATAGAATGAGCTTACCTTGATGCCCAACCGAAGCTAATTAGCAGAATGGAATTATTTGGAAATGGTCCATTTTGACTTTCCCACTTTTCAAGTTCCTTAATTGATAACTTAAAAGAACAATTTCCATTAGTTTCCGAAGAAGCATTTAAGAAAACACCTAGTAGAATTTGTCAATATAGTAATATTTTTTTCTTTATAAGTGTAATATTAATAAATATCATTTGTGGAATTAGTATATGAGTCACCACCTGTTGTTATCAATCTGTCTAAAGGTATTTCATCTACTTTCCATCCTAACTTATTGAAATGGTAGGGAGCATCAACATGAGTTCCACAATGTTCTGCGGTCTCAAATTGATAGGCTGCATACCAATATCCTCGATCGTAATCAGCTGTTTTCTTAATGAACCTGGAAAATAATAGTTAGTAATATAGATGCTTGTATGCTATGTTTTAAGTCAAATGTTAATTAACATGATGATTTAGTTTAATTTCACGAAAATGATGGAGAATACTGATACCAGCATACAGCATTTCTATATTTAATATGAAATTATATACATGTATATAATGTAAAATGTATAATTTTTAGAAGTAATTGGGTTCAGTCAACATTTTTGTATCTGCCTTTTATTAACCAGTAAAATCTTTTATCTGATTCTTGCAAATGAAAAAAAATCTTATATTTTTAAATTCTATAAGGGAAAAAAATTAATATTTTGCAAGTATAATAATAATAATAATTAAAGTAAAATTATATCTTTACAACCTTTCAACTTATGAATAGTATTATATATTTTTTAACATAGATTGATGTTACATATTATAAGAAGTGATGTTAAAGCAGAAGTAGGCGTGTATTATTATAAAACAGAAGAATCTGCCATCCATACCGAAAAGATAACAGTGATGAATGATGAAGATGTAACAAAAAATAATATGACACTTGTGAAAGACAAGGAAACATTAGAAAAATCATTTTATTATGATGAACAAATTATTCGAATCTACTGTTGTTGTTTTTTTTAACTTGGAAAATAATAATTAACAATATATGTATATTAATTAACATAATTATTTGCAATATAGATACATGTTTCTTTTGATTAACAAAACTAATCTAGTTTGATTTTAAAAAATGATTGTAGACAAAGCAACATACTATTTAGAGAAAAATTATTTCTATATATACTTCAAAATTATGCAGATGTAGTTATATGTAAAAAAAATCATTTTCAGAAGCATTTAATTACAGTAAGCATTCTTTTATCACCATTCTATTAACAGAACTGAACTTTTTATCTCCCTTCTTTGATGAAAACCAATACATGCTATATATTTTCGAATTTGCTGAAAAAAAATTAATATTATGTAGAACTTATATAATTTACTAATTCTGTAAATATTCTTACAATCACAGTTTATGTTTCGGGGCAATGCTCCCTTCTTCAGAAACATATTCTTATCACTTAATAGGAAGAGATAATTTTAATTATATTCTTGTCACTATATTCATAATTTATTATTATTCAGATACATATATAGTTCTTATTATTACCATTTTGTTTACTTCTCTTTTATATTTTTAAATAATTAAATTTTTTTGCTTTGAACATTAATGTCTGAGAACATCTTCATCAAAAAGATTTGGTAAATCATAAAACAACATTACCTGAAAGGAATCTCAGAAGGAATCCAATACGCAGTATTTTCATCATATGGGTAACTCAAATCTATTTTTTCACCTCTGGCAAAAGATAGTATAAGTGTCATAAGCAGCAACATCTCCAGCACAAACAAATATTTAATGTAATAATATCATATTAATATGCTCTTATCATAAATAAATATATTAAATATTGAGAAAAAAATTGTCTATACATGAATGGATAAAATATCTATACTGAAATTAATTAAGAAAATAAGAAATGTCGACTAGATGGCTAAACAAATATTTTACCATGTCTTATGTTCCTGTTAGTTTACCTCAGAAAATTTGAAAATAGGAAAAATCAGAGAGTTGAGAGTTTGTCTCGCTACCTCAAACTTTTAAATAAAAATAAAAATATATAATATATTCAATAGCTTTGTTAACATCTTTAATGACCATCAAAGATTGAGAGAGCTTAGTTGGGAAATTTTTTATATATAGCATTATTTAGCCTGGACTTTGTTCCATCTATCTACCATTTGTTTCAGTCTCTACAGAACTCTCTTAATACAATAAATATTGAATATATATATATATATATATATATATATATATATATATATATATATATATTAAAATATTAAATATATGAAGAGCAATATCTTCTTCTTTGTCTTTCTTTTATGTCATTAGATAGCTTCGAGGAGCCTCAATCCAGCGTAACCACTCTTCCCGGTCCCTGCTTAGCCACTTCATCTCATTGAGGATTTTGCCTTTTTTACATCCAATTCTTTGAATATACTCTTGGTATGTGATTCTAGGGTGTCTGCGTGGTCTCCTTCCTGTGGGTCGAGCCTCTAATATCTTTATAGGATTCAAGTTCTCGTTCATGCGGCAGACATGTCCAAACCATTGGAGATGCCGTGTTTCTAGAGTTGTTTTAAGTTCGGTAACTCCTAGTTGCTCTCTAATGCTTTCGTTCCTAATGCGATCCCTTCTAGTTCTCCCAACAGATCTGCGAAGGAACCTCATTTTCGCTGCTGTTATGCGACTAGAGTGCCTGTCTAGCGTTTTCCAGCTTTCTCCGCCGTAGGTGAGGGTAGATAGGTAAACAGACTTATATACATGCATTTTGGTCTTCTTGTCTACTTCACGGTGGCCGATAATGCTATTAGTAGTCTGGTAATATACCTGATTGCCTTACATATTCTGTTTGATATTTCAGCGTCTATCTTACCCGAGCTACTAATTACGGCCCCTAAGTAGGTATATTCACTCACTACAACAAGTGTCTCGCAGTTGTAGATCAGTTGTACATCTTCCCGTTCTTCCCTCGCCAGCACTTTACTCTTGGAGGTGTTAATTTACAACCCTTTCCTGAACAACTCTTCTTCCCACTCTATCAGAGCTTGTTGTAGTTTGGTCTTGGTGTCGGCTTTTAGGACTATGTCATCCGCATATAGAAAGCTTTGTATGAGGACAGTTCTCAAATTCCATTTCCCAATTGTTGTCCATGCAGTTCAGCGCTTGCAGATTTTGTGGATTTCATCCATTACATTTATAAATAGAAGGGGACTTAAGCTATCTCCCTGTCTAACTCCTCTCGCAATTGGAAAAGGTTCCGATTCCATACCATTTATCCTTCCCGCTACCATGGCTCCTTTATAGGCTGACTGTATGGCGGCGAGCAAGTCTCCAGGTACACCCTTGCCTATTAGGGCTTTTCAAATTTCTTTTCTTGGGACCACATCAAATGCTGACTTCTGGTCAAGGAATGCAAGATATAGATTTTTATTTCTGTCCCAAGCTTTTCCAGCAAGATTTCTGAGAACAAAGATGTGATCCTGCATCTGTCGGCCTGGACGAAAACCCTGTTCCGCTTCTAACTGCCCTTCCACAATCCGTCGGAGTCTCCTTTCTATAATAAAAGTGTAAAGTTTATAGACTACTGAAAGCAAACTAATGGGTCTATAATTTTTACAGTCTGTCGTGCATAATTCTTTATAAGACCAATATTTGCATTAATATTAGTAACTTTTGAAAATAAAATCATTAAACTGTGAGATAAAAACTGTACTGTTCTTATCTTATGGAAATCTGAAAAGAAATATTCATTGAAGAGGTATATATATATATATATATATATATATATATATATATATATATATATATATATATATATAATGGTTTAGAAACATCCTAAAATTATAGAAGCTAACAAACTAGAAGTGGAGTTAAATTTAAAATTGTTTTCTCTATTGATTTATTTTCCAAAGCCACTTTCTACCCTCTTCGCTTAAACCTCTTCCATCACCTATAATTTATGGTTAAAAGTTGACCATTCATTAATTTCAAATTGTTCTCAAATTAATAATATTGGAGGAAAAAAAAGAACATTTCTATAATTTGATTTTACACTGCCTACAGTAAAATTAATAAGATTTTACAAAATCAACACAGATAATAAAGGATATAAATTATACTTTCAATAATATCTATAGTCCTGTTGAGGGATAAAATCAGAGGTATCAAAATTTTTCTCATTAACCTCTGTTATTATTAGCATCAGCTGAGCTCAAAAACTATGTCTTATCCCTCAAATAATTTAGTTCTGCACACAAACAAATTATTTAAAAAATATTTATGTGTATTCGGCTATGCCTGAAATCTGAGAATGATTAACATTTGGTTAATTATTGAATAATCAAATATCATATAGAAAATTATTACCTGCATATTGACTGAAAATGTTGATATTTCAGAACTCAATCATTAATGTAATTGTTCCTCAGTTTTCATATGAAGTTTTATATTTTATATGTTTAGCATTAGGACTAATACTTAAGAAATATTAGGGTGTCAAGGTTTGAATGACTTATATAAACTGGCCCAGTTATCAGTTAATCGTTTCCTAATTTCGATATCGATAGTTTGGTCATCTGATGAATACTCCTAATGAGGGAACATTTACTTATGTATCTATGTCATGAGATAGCAGTGTTTATTATAGACAATGGGTCAGGGGGCAACTCGCCACTTTAATCAAAACATTAAAAATAGTTTAGAATGAATTTTTTTTTTTTTACATTCATCTCACACCAAATATTGGTGATCGTTTCTCCCCCAAATAAAAATGTTGAGAGGACGAGAAAATTGTTTTGTCCCCTCCTCCCCATAATTTGAAGTAAAAAAAATTAAAATTGATAACAAATAAGCTGCATAAATGAATAAAATATTTAAACTAAAATCGACTAAGAAAATAAGAAAGTTGACTAACTGGCTAAGCTAAGGCCTACATAAGTAGGTAAATAACTATTTTATCATGACCTAAATATTCCTATTATTTAAATTTGAATATATATTAATATTTTAATATAGGAAAACATATCCTTGGATTTTATGATTCATTCCCCTTTCATGTGGACACCTCCATTTTCACATGATTTTCTTATAAATTTTCTGCAATAAAGTTGGAAAAGATATACTTGATAAGTACAAGTATAAATATATTTTATAGACTGTTTTTATTAACATTTTTACATAATCATATTGTGAAAATGTTCTATTTTTATTTGGAGATTGTACAAACTAAGGAATCAAAAGTATTTTTCAGTTTTTAACATTATTCATTTTTAGCTTATGAAGGCTCTCCCCCTTCCTCTCATGTTTAATTTGTACAAATTTTAATATATCCAATTGTTTTGTTCAGATATTTTCGAGTATATCCAAAAGCACATAAAAAAAAGAAGAAAAAATCCTGCAACTGTCTAAAGATACTGTTTCATAATAATTATGTTGAATTTGTACACATAATATGAACTAGCCCATTTAGTTGTTTTTTTTTTGGTCCATCCTCTCTCTCAATCAAAATGGAAAGTATGGTTTATTCTATAAACATGTATTTTTAAAAACTAATTTAATATATTTTAAACTAAATATTTTTATTCAGATAAGACATGATGAGGGAAAAAATGGAAAGATATTTCTTGAATGGAAGTTTTGAAGATGGGAACATTGTTCAAAACTGAAACATATAAGATACTTACTAATATGAGCTAAGCGCAAGCAACTCATGATGTAACCTTATCTCCTTCCCCACCAGTTTTCTTTAACACTTATTACCTTAGCAAATGGAAATGTTTTATTGTTTTAACCTAATCTTCACTTCATGCAATATTTTAAATGCATGTGTTTATAGTTTATTAAATAATTATATTACTGTTTATATTTTGTTCTTAGATTTCATGTACTTTAAATATTTGAGGATTTGAAGTTTTTTATTATATAAAACGCATTATTATGATGTGAATGGAACAAAAAATACAATACAAGAAAAATAGAAAAGCAGAAAAATTATATATAAAAATTATGAATATAAAAATGTATAATTATTGCTAATGCTCTATCACTATATTATATGTATTTTTCAATATTTACAAACACATTTCTTAAAGGACTTAAAGTATTGTGTGTAGCTTCCCTCTTTAATATACATACAGCAGGCATAAATTTACAATAATAATCTAAATAAAAACTCTCTAATTACATAGCTGGTTAAGGAGTCATATTTTTAAATACTTTTTCGGGACAAAATAATCTGGCTTAAATTTTTAAAAATTCAGGTTCATGCAAGAAAAAATCAATAAATAAAAACTTAATTAGAAATCAGTATCATGTTCTACCATATTTATTTGTCATAATTTCTTCAATAATATTAATACATATAAACATCGTTAATGATTAACTACTGAAAAAAAGTATTTACACAATTATAACAAGGATGAATTTTATAAATTAGAGATGGTTATTTAATCCTGTTATTTAATGTTATACTTAATACTAATTGATAGTAAAGATCTATAATTATGATCATCTATTTTATGAAAAATTATCCCCAAACTCGTACATGTTGATCCCAGGAACAAGTAGAAATTCCCATACCATTCGGAGCTACACAAAGGGAAGTGATGCGATTATCATGTCCTTGCAATGTTCCTGCAACATTGAATCATCGTATTGAATTACTTTTTCATAAATCAATTATTACTTCATTAAAGACTTTTATTACTCCATATATTTTAAGGGAGAAAATGGGAGTATACATAAATATTTTAATTTAGAGAATAATTAGTCGGTCAATGATACACACATACTATGTGATGTAATATTTATTATACTATTTATAATTTATTATAAATGTAGTAAAACAAAGTTATAATTGTATAAAATATATTTATTTATAGTATACTGTGTGACTGTTGACTGCATCCTTTCCTCTCCCTATTAAACTATTCCTTAAATTAAAACTACGATCAGTCATTTCAGAATCATCATAAATATTTCTAAATCACTAAGAGTGAAATCATAGTTTATATAAACTTGTTCTGAGAAAATAATAAATAAAATCAGTTATGAAGAGAAGAATAGTTGGGGTGGTCAGTCAAAAAAGAAGGCAAAAATAAATGATAATATTTATTTTTACATATGCCGACGTTTCGACCTGAAGTTCAGGCCTTCATCAGGGCTAAGAAAATAACCAGATAACAAGGTATGAGAAACATAAGTAGTGATGGTAAAAAAAAAAAAATAAATATAAAGTAAAATGAAATTGTTAAAATAATGACTAAGAATTAAGAGATAAATAATAATAACCATTACAAAGTGTGGAATGATGAAGTAGGCACAATCAAAAAGGGTGACATAAGTGTTAAAATGGGAATCTTAGAATAAAATGTAAAACATAAAAAAGAAATATGAAGTTATATAAGAAATGAAAATAAATAGTAAAATTAAGACATTGAGAATGGAGTAGTTAGATAGAAAATTGAGATATTGTAAAGTCTATCAAGACGTAAATGTTATCTGGTTATTTTCTTAGCCCTGATGAAGGCCTGAACTTCAGGTCGAAACGTCGGCATATGTAAAAATAAATATTATCATTTATTTTTGCCTTCTTTTTTGACTGACCACCCCAACTATTCTTCTCTTCATTATCCACGACAGTCAACCATTTACCAATTATAAAATCAGTAATTATAAAATTATCATTACACAGAACTAAATCATTTTTTAAAATGTATTTTGTTATTTATACTCTATGGGCTAAAGAAAAAGGTAGAAGTAATGTAAACATTTAGTTTTAGCAACCATAAAAATTACCATTGTGCTGAGCTTTAAGCAAGTCCCAGATATGAACATTATTATCATCTGCTCCGCATAGTAAGAATCTGCCAGACAAAGAAACACCTGCAGAAGTAAAACCAGGTGTTGACGATGGTGGTTTCATGATCGAAATGGCTTGGTCAGAACGGATATCAAATAAACGAGTAGTTTTGTCCTCACTCGCAGTGCAAAAAGAATAACCATTTGGAAAATACTGTAAAGCAATCAATTTAAAAAATATAAATAAATGCTTATTTAGAATACTTTTAAAAGACAATTTAGTCTTGATAATTTACAACCCTTTTATTAATAACAAACATTCAGCCCTTCAGTGGATTGGTTATTCGTTTGAATAAAAATATATATGTTATAAATAGAAAAATACAAAGTACTGGGTCTCCAACATAAATGTGAATAGTCAACTTGCCAAATTGGCGAAATGTTGGCAAGTAAAGTATTCATCTGTATGTTGGAGACTCATGGCTTTGTATTTTGTATTTTTCCATTTATAACATAATTACTTTATGCCTCTTTTCTAGCTTTATGCTTATTTTAATAAAAATATATATTTTGACTTTATATCTATGTTGCAGGCAGATAGACCACTCTTTTATTTGCTGAAATGCCTGTATATTTATGTTAAAATTCTAAATGCTCAAGGATATGACTAGACATTTGATGAAGAGTATAAACATTTCATTAAGTTTCAAAAAGGACTTTAGAAAAAAGTAATAAAATATCTCATACAAAGACATAATTGTTTGTTATGCACCTGGGACTACCTACGTCCAAAAAATTAAAGGTGATTCTTCCCTCTTTAATTTAATTTATAATGAGCTTTAATGTAGAAATGTGAATTATTCCAAAGACTAATGGTTATTAAGCTTTGGAATAATTCACATCTTTATTGAATTGGTGTTCTAAGGAATTCTTCAATATTAAATTGTGTTAATCTATTTCTGGTTACCCGGACCACGTCGACGTCTAAACCATAACTGGTCTAGGATGCCTCTTAAATTATATGGTATTTAATCTTCACCCTCAGCCAAAACACTCTCTTTAAATACAACTTTGTCAAAAACCACTGTTCTTGACATATGAGTACTTCAGTAAGTTCCCTCTGGTTTTTGAATAAATGTAAATATAGTTTTTAAAGCTTTCAGTAAATCTTTTTGCATCAAAACACAGAAATTTGATCTTTGCAATTTAAATATGGTTGATATAGATAGATCTGTGGTGTTCAGTATAATTTTACCAAACACATTTCATTGGTTTATTTAAAAAAAAAAAAAGAAAAAAGTATTCAATGACTAAGACTTATCTTTGGTACCTCGATGCCAAGATATCTCATATCTTCTCAGTTATTGGCCAGTTAAAGTCACAGTTTCCTTCCTTCTGTTGACAATATTTTCTCAGATCTTTCCAATATCAAACTATTATTTTCTAGCATCCTTGTTATATCTATAGAACCCTATAGTTCAACTCACAGAAAAAAAGATCCCTTGTTTTTGACTTCTATACCCCTTCCTGTTGAACTGAAATCTTCTAATATTCCCTTCTTACTATCTCCATGGCCTTTTTGTATTGCATTTTAAGTAAAAGTGGTAACCAAATAAATAATAAAGTAAAAAGAACTTGTTTAGTGAAAATACAAATTAGAATCTTCCAATTATACCCTAAATGTTATGGCAAATAAGATTAAATGTACAGATTCTTAAATATACTTACACAAACAGAATTAACATCAGCTTCGTGGCCAAAAAATATCTGTTGACACTTTAGCCCATCTCTAAGATCCCATAATTTACAAGTTTTATCAACACTTCCGGTCACAAAAGTTTTCATATCTGGCGCGAGTGAAATACTGACGACATCACCAGCATGGCCTACCTCATCTATTGTCTTTTTACCAACTTCCACATCCCATATGCAACTGTACAAAATAAAATCTCAAGTAATAAGTATGTTAAATAATTGGGGCATAGTATTTTAAATAAATAACTTTGAGAATATCAACTATATCATTTGCAAACAGATAACAAATGCATCATTTGATGCTCAACGTTAGAATGATAAATGTTTAGCTTATAATAATATCTTATTTTATCTAATGCTGATTAGTTTTATGTACTACTTTATTTATTTCGAATAGCATATCATAAGTGTTTCAAGTTTGTTGCGGTATATATCAACAGAAGTTAAACAAACTTTAAAATTATAATATTGAAAAGTTAAATTTCGTAATGACTAGTGTTACAAATTTATTTTAGGGTATATCACATTGCATTGGAATATGCAATATTATGTTTTTAACATATTTTGTTTACAAGGAAAACATCAAGTATTTTCAAACCAAAAGGGACATTTTCCAAAACTTTGTAATTAGGTGAATTGCATAAAAGAAATTAGGATGAAGTATACATTAATTCTAAGAAGGACTAACCTTCTCCAATTATTAAATATTACAACTAACTAATCATGAGAGTACATCAGCCCTTTTCATAATTAACATAAGCCCTACCTAAAATTTTTATCTGCAGCTCACTGAAATATCAAAGTTGTATAAACATTTTGTTTCAAATTATATTCATATTTAACAGTATTTTTTTATTTATTATTTATATTTATTGATGGTTAAGTAATAAATGATTTTGCATTTCATAATATGGTTACCCAATCTATGAAATTTGTTATCCAAAGAATAAGAATTTGTTTTCTCAATAAAAATTAAGTCAAATATTAGTAAAAAATAAAGTTACACTTAATTTTGAAAAAGTTTACCAACAGTTTCATGTCTCCTGATCCAGTAATCAGCATCTTATCATCGATGAATCTGCAAGAAGAAAGAAATCCTTCATAGCCCAGAAGTTCCCTTGTCATTTTTGCAGCACCAGTGCTATCCCTATTGTTAACATCATATACTGTACACATATTATCCATTCCTCCACAAGCTAGAAAATAAAATGTAAAATTAGTATTCATAAGAAATTGTTAAAAATATCAAGGTTATGGAAATGAGATTCCTGTAGGAAATTACTATTCTATTATTCACAATTGAAAATTTCTGTTTCTTACCCACAAAGTTACCAGAAGGAGCAAAAGCGACACTCATAACCCATGAAGATCGTAAAGGTATAACTTGCACTTTATTACCAGTCCAAGTGTCCCAAATTATAAGTTTTCCATCCAAAGAACCAGTGACAATATGTCTGAAAGTTTTAAGAAAATATTTAATTATTAAATAAAATTTCAGATTAAACATCAATTTGTAAAATAAGTTTATAGTAATATTAAACCTGCTATCTCCACTATAATGGACTGAATTGACTTTGTTGATGTGACCTTTTAAATACTTTTTTGTCGTAAGTCTTACTTTTGATGCGTCAGGAACATTTGAACAGGCATCTTCCAGTTTGACATCAGCTACTTTTGACTGTTCTTCCTGTAATGTAAAATTAAGAATCATCCTTATGATTTTATCTCATAGTTATTGTTTTTTTTTTCATATTGCTTTATTGGTTGTGTGAAAAAGAGTGTTAATGGAATTACAACAGAACTTTTAGGAATGCTGGGCGAATGGTACTCATCAAAAATAAGAAACAAATAATATGTCATAATACAAGAGGAATCTCACTATACTTGAAACATAATGAAATGAATCGTCAAGATGCCAACAAATTAATACTTTAATAATACTCCTAAATGTTGACTTAAGCTAATCATGTAAAAATATATATTAAAGACAAGAGACTAATAGACGGAATATTTTAAAATATGGTCAACAAATCAAACATTAGGTGTATTCATCGATGTTTGGAAAATACTAATTATAATTATGCGTAATTTGTTGGTAGATATTAAACAGAGGATTATATGATGACTATATAATTATTAAGGAGATTAAAAAGAGTATACATTGAACTGTTTTCATGTAATATAATATATTTCAATTAAATTAAGATGTGTTGCTCCTGGTTTATTTTAATGTGACATTGTGGTTTTCTTCATCATGCCTGAATTGGCAAAATGTTGGTTGGTGAGAATCAGGGCATTGTTGATAATTTGAATAATAAATCCAATGAAAATAAAAAATAAAATTCCCTGTCATAGTACCATAATCTAAGCCAGCCACTGTTTATGATAAAAATATAATTAAAAAATGTCTACAAGTTCTAGAAAAAAATATATGAAGATAATTAGAATACTTAATATGCTCTGTCACTTACCACAATCCTATTTTAATTTTATAATTTTAATACCAATCTAAAATAATGTTTTTTTTTATTTAGAACTAACGTGAGGTGTTAATTATATCTGAGTTGATAACAAGAAACCATATACCATATTTTAGTATAATTATAAATTTATCTTAGGAACAAACTTGAAGTCAGATATTATGATTTTCTTGTTAATCATCTATTGCTGAATCTTTCTATTTCTTTATATATTTCTTTATATATCTTTCTATTATATTCTATTTCTATTTTAGTAATATTCATATTTACCACAAATATATACATACACATTCTTATATGTATGAGGTTTTATTATAAAAAGCATATTTAAAAAAAAAAAAATTAGTTTAAAATTTTAATGAAAACTATAAGTAGTTTTACAGTACCTTTATTTTCTTGATTAAATCTTCCAGTTCTTTTCTTAATTTTGCAGTCTCTTCATCAACTTTTGGTGGCATGCTTGGAGATGTTCACTAAAATGGTTGTTGGAATAAATTCTAATTTACTTCATTCAATTTTAACTTTAACTGGACATTGCTTACCAACTTAAAGAAGACTAAAGTAGAACAAGAGAACAGAATAAGCCAATTTGCTCAATCTCATTAGTGGCACTATAGGGTAGCTCTTTAATTCTGTTAGCTCTATTAAGACTTTTTTTTCATGACTAAAATATATTATTTTTAATTTTTTACATTTAAAAACATAATTTGTGTATTTTGTTTTTCATATTGTACCATTTCCATTAACGGGTTAAACTTGAAAATAATACATATTTATTAATTTTATTATTAATGTTAATCACTTAAATATAATAGATGAACTGCATTAATAAAAAATTCAAATATTTTACACAAATGATTATTTTTTGTCACTTAAAAAAAAAGTTTAGTTTTGATCAATTTTGGCTTCCAATATCCAATATATATGTTTATATAATTTATAATTTTACAATAAAATAGGCAAACATAATTATTCTCTTCATTATCACAGTATATTTTCTCAGTTAGACATAATTATAATTATTCTCTATTAAATATAAGAAAGAATATGGAACTAAATTGAAAGTTACCAGATTTCCTTAACTATAATAATTTTTTGCTCCTTCAGGTAAATTTATCCATTGCCTATTGATAGTGGTTCACAACATTGAAATGAATTACTATTATCTAAACAGGATCTGTTTGTATTATTTTATTTCTTCTTATTTTTTATTTATATTTGTTTTTGTGAAAAGGTGAGATTATTCTCTAGATTTTAATAAATTGTTTTGTTAATTTCATTCCAAATGGCCTCAGCAGCACTCCATTCTCCCCCTCCCCTCCAAAAATATTTTTACACGAATAATGCATGCATTATAGAAATTAGAAAATACAATAAGCACTTCAGGAGCACATAATAACTTTGATTTGAAGTTGAAAATTTTGAGCTAAACGATTTGAGTCACTGTAAAAGTTCATACTTAAGGGTTTTCAAAGTAAAGGTAGGATATAAACTCTAAAAAATGTTTATATGAATCGGACCAGTACTAATTCAGTTTCCAACTCATCAAATGGATTAATTGGAATGATGATTGATTCAATCAAATCAAGTCCAAAAATTTATATTTTTTATTTCTATAAAATTTTATAATTAAGAGCACTAAAAATGAATTTGAGTACCTTTTTGATAACAAAGTTTTACTTGGTCTATTATGCTAGATCATATTTTCGTTATTGGAATTTCTTATATATTTGAACTCATTTAATACTATATTTATCTCATTGGCTATATTTATTTAACACGAAAGAAAGAGATTGGGGTAGCTCAATTAGGCATTATGCTCCTACACTCAAGACCTTAAGTTGGAATCCTGTCATGGTAGGTGATTATTTATTTTGATAAATCAGCTGTGGGCCTTGCGGGGTTAGGTGCTTCAATAGGTAACCAAGTTAAACAACGCCGAGCATGGTTAGCACTTGGATGTGTGACCGCCCAATTTGAGTGACTGTCCATCAGGAAAAGCCAAGCTGCCTGAGAACCCCCCTATGGTTTGTGAGGCATGTCATCCTACTGGAGGCAATTCACACCAACTGGGTGTAGGTTATTCTTAATTAAATAATTAATTAAGAGGAAAAACCTGTTGTTTGAATCACTGTCTTTTGATCTTATTGTTAGTCAAATCACCACCTTGCACACCTGCTTACCTACAAACATTATTTTATTAAAAAATGCTGAACCACAGAAAAGATGTTGAATGGTATATGATAACCATGAAATAAAAATAATATAAAAAATTGTTAAAATTAAAATAATATTTGATCGGCTCCTAAGTTCCATTGAAACAAACACCTGGATATATGTCGAATGTTTTTTGATGTAGAATCACCATGACAAATTAAGTTGAAATAAGTGACACGCTGACTGCGACCTCTCTTTGTTAGCGAAATCTTAGTGAATAAGAATTTCACAATCTCGCATTTTTCAAAGGTGAACAGATATAGGAAAATTTAAAATAAAAATTACTTACTAAAATTAAAGTCATTGACTCAAAACTCCTTTATCAGAGAGCCTAAATATTGGATATATTATGATTATAATAGCATTATGCTGTGACATTTTCTTGTTAATTTGATATCTTGATTGCTATAATAAATAAATTGCTATAATCTAAATAAAACACGGATTATACCAAACTTATTTATTTTCACATCATAATGATTAAGTAGTATGAGATTTTAGTTAATAATAAGATTTACATATATTTTAACTAATACATTATAAAAGAAGAAAATGAATAAAATTAAATCAGGTAATGGCCACTACTCTGCAAGGGCCTCCAGTTCCATTCTTTATCTTCATTGGAAAAGAAATAAGCTTGAAATTCCTCTTAGGTAAAGGGTGTATTAAAGCTACATTTTCTAATATATATAAATTTTTTGAAGTCAATTCAATATGTGCATCAGCATTTAATCCTTGATCTAATGAGGGGGTGTCGACACCTACGCCTACAAACTAAAACATGGAAATGTGTTACTTATTACATTAAAAATAATCTTGTATAAAATACTTTTTACTTTTTAAAATATAGATACCTTTTTAGACTTGGTTATCCATTCCGAAGCCTCTTTTGATAAACCAGGGAAACAAATTTTATCAGATGGTCCGAAATATTCTGTTTTATTGTTATATCTATGAATAATAGAAAAAATATGTAAGAAAATGATAACTACAAAATTATCAACATAAGTGAAATCATCCCCGAGATCTGGCCTCAGCTGAATGTATTCCTGTTTTGTTGTGATGCAGCTAAAAGCAATAGCTATGATCTATGTAGACAGTTCCAAATCTGTTTTAAATTTTCTTTTTTTTTAAGGACTATTTGAAAAAAAGGGCCTCTGAACATAAGAGAGTAGCACTTATAATAAAGAAGTAGTCGATTGGTCTAAAAAAATAGATTAAGAAACTGTGGCATTAAATAAGGCTAAATTGTATTATATCTCCATATATATTTGAAAAACCATCTTGAAAATATTTGTTTCCGTTTCCACTTCCACTATACTTTCAAGATATGTTGGGCCTTTTTTAATTATCAGTTTTTTTCCTGAAATATCAATGAGTAATTAAATAAATAAATGATACTGTAAAAAAAATATAGTTGTTGTTTCTTACATCATTGAGAATCAAAAGGGCTCAGAGAAAATCAATGAATTATATTTTATTTGATATCCTACATCAGGGCTCTCTTAGACAAACTTTGGACCACAGGCTGGGTCCCTCGCCCGCAAGCGCCTAAACCCCAGTCCATGAAAGTTCTGTGATTACATTTTAAAAACTATGAAATTTAATAGATTACCCAAACACAAGATTACTACAACATTTATCGCATTTTTTTTTTCTAGAAAGCTCATTTTCACAGGTTAAGTGTCATTTATAAAAGAAACTTATTTTTTTTTTATTGTAAGCCATCGCCCGTGGGACTCACCAGGAGGTCTCAATACTGAGTTAGTGGAGGTAGCAATATCAACACGGGCCAAAACATTTGGAAACCCCTGACATACATGAAAATAAATTAGTTAATCAGATAAAGAATGTGAAAGAAATGATAAAAATTAAAATTTTATAGGAAAGAAATGATAAAACCATTGATAATCCATATTGAATTTCAACAGGATACCCAATTTACAAGAAGATGTTTAATTCCATAAAAATACTTAGAGAATCCAAGCACCCCTTAATAGAATAAACTTACCTTGATGCCCAACCAAAGCTAATGAGCAGGACAGAATTACTTGGAAATGGTCCATTCTGACACTCCCACTTTTGCAGCTCCTTAGTTGATAACTTAAAAGAACAATTTCCATTAGTCTCCAAAGAAGCATTCAAGAAAACACCTAGCAGAATTTGAAAAAAATTGTATTTTATTTGTTGTTTATAAGAGTAATACTAGTTTATTGTGAAATAAACATGAGTCATAACCTCTTGCTATTAATCTGTTTAAAGGTATTTCATTCAATTTCCATCCTGATTGATTGTAATGGGAGGGAGCATCAAGATGAGTTCCACAATGTTCCGCGGTCTCAAACTGATTTGATGCAATCCAATATCCTCGATCAAAATTAGCTGTTTTTTTAATAAACCTGGAAAATAATAATTAACAACACTTGTTTACTATGTTTTAAGTCATCTATAAATAATTAATATGATTCACGAAAATGATTGTGAACAATACTGATACATGCATACTACTAAGGCCAAATTTATTTCTATATATAGTATGAAATAACACACATTTTGATATGTAAGGTCTATAATATTTAGGAGCAATTGAGTATAATCAACTTTTTTTTATCTCCATTCTATTAATCTGAAAAATCTTTTATTTCATTGTGTCATTGTAATGTTCATTCGCTTGGCACAATATATATTTTAGTTATATATATTCCTTAAATCAAACTTCATGAATCAAATTATAGTTTGTCTTTTTAAAATATTGCTAAATTTGGCAACTATCTAATTTACTAAATAAATAGAAATACACTAGAAGTTTTAAGTATATTTTCTTTTTTAGTATTTGGTTGTAATCGGGGATTGTATTAATACAGATTTCTATTTCTTTATTTTATAAAAAAAAAATTATCTGATTTTTTCTGATTCTGATTATTTTACATAATGTAGTAGCAAGGAAAAACATTTTCATTAAGACAAAAGTAAATTGGTGAGAAAATTAATGTCAGAGAACACCTTTGAACAACATCTTGGAAACAAGATTTTAGAAATCACAAAATAACATTACCTGAAAGGTATTCCAGTAGTATTCCAATATGCAGAGTTTTCATCATATGGATAACTCAAATCAATCAGTTTTTGGCCTCTGACAAAAGGTAGCATAAATATCATTAGCAGCATCATCTTCAACGCAAAGAAATATTGTGGTAGTTTCTTATTAATACATTTTTATCCTTAATTTTATCTTTCAACTATTACAATATATACATACATATATATATATATATATATATATATATATATATATATATATATATATACATATCTTGTTACTTTACACTGCCCTGTGGTTATTAATATATACTAATATATATATATATATATATATATATATATATATATATATATATATATATATATATATATATATATATATATATATATATATTAATATATACTTATCATAAAAATGTAAAATATTCAAAGAATAATATTTTCTATAGGTATTAGCAACTTTGAAAAATCAAATTATTAATCTGTGAGACAAAAACTGTACAGTTCTTATCTTATGAAAATGTGGTTTCTGGAAAGAAAATGTTCATTGAAGAAAGATATATTGTTATGGTTAAGAAACATCCTGAAATTATAGAAGCTATTCTTTTTATGCAAACAAACCAGGAGTGTATTGATTCAGTTTTCTTTATTGACTTCTTATCTTGCAAAGCCACTCTCCACCCTCTTCACTTCAACCTCTTCCATCATTTATAATAAGTTGCCCCTCCATTAATTTCAGGTTGTATTCAAATTAATAATATCGGAGAAAAAAAAAGAATATTCTTATAATTTGATTTTACACTGCCCACAATAAAATTAATTAGATTTATAAAACCAACACAGTTAATGAAGGATATAAATTATACTTTCAATGACTTCCATGGTCATGTACAGTGATAAATCATCGATTGATAATAGTTAAATTTAGGACTCCCAAATATTTTCTCATTAGCTGCAGTCGTTATTAACATCAGCATAGCTCTGTAACTATGTCATCATTGCTTAAACAATTTAGTACTGGACACAAACAAATTTTTTAAAAATAGTTATCTTGTATCTTCTGCTCTGATTGATATTTTTAAGGGATTGCTAATAATTTAATATCATATAGAAAAAGATTACCTAAATCTTGACTAAAAGTGTTGATATTTTAGAAAGCAATTATTATCAAAATTATTCTCCAATTTTTATATGAATGGTTAGCATTAGCGCGGGTAATTAAGAAATATTGGGATGCCAAGGTTTGAACGTTTATTACTTATAAAATAATATAATATAATTATCATCTACATGGCTTTTATTGGACTCTTTTGTATCTTGTTCTTTATGTAAATCACTATAAAACATTGGAAAGACAATAAAACTGTGTCCCCATCATAAAATATTATAGGAGGGAGTCAGAAAGTATTTCCTTCCTAGTGGCTGTCATGGTTAGACCAACTAATGAATACTTCTGGATGATGGGAGAACATTTACTTATATATTTATGTCAAATGTACTTCCAATCTGGTAACTAATTGAGTGAGCACTTTATAATAATATTCTAAAATATAACAATTAATTTATAATTTTATAATCAAGGTGGATATCAAATTATGCTGTAGGGTATAACAGAGTTATTAAATAATGAATCTACAGGATTTTCTGGTCAAAGACTACGATGTTAATGGCTTATAGTTTTTTTACCTGTGAAATTTATAATTTAAATTAATTCTAACACAAATAAATGCATTATAATTATTTGAACACCCATATTTGTTTTATTCACTGAAATTCAGAATTTCTGTATTTGTAGGTAGAACTTTTTTTTTTAAGAACATTTAATGAAACTTAATTTGAATAAAATTGAAAAATTCACATTTCCTTGAGTTTTTCCTTAATGTAACTGCTATTTTAATAAGAAACAGTAAATGCATTCACGTATGAAAGAAAAAAATTTATAAATGTTAAAAGAAAAAAAAAAAGCATCATCCCAGAAGGGCGTGAGGTGGCTTGTTTGAAGAGGAAAAGATTTCTCACCTCGCTAAAGAAAAATAATATTTTCGCTGGAAGGGCGGTAAAGGGGTGGGCGATGTATACATTTTGTAAAAAGCTCTGCTATGTATAAATCACTGCTCCTGAGAGAGATAGAAGAGAGATTGCTATGAATGTATACAAGTCTATTATTCTGTCAGTTTCGGGATATATCGTAGCCTAATATTGAGAGGGAGCCAAACTCTGGAGTGTTCTTCGCCTTCCCCTTCCTTCGATAAAGGTGTGCCGCAATCAATCACGCGCAGATTCCTATAGCCCCGCCGGCAACTTCCATGTTTCTTATAACATACCTGTGCAATAAACCTCCTCCAATTTATAGTGAGGGTGTGAGAGCTGTTTCGGAGGATGTAGTGGTTTATAATAACTGATAAATATTTGTTCATAATATGCAATTGATCACAGAAAGTACCGATTATAAAAATCTCCTGCGAAAAAAAAGAAGTCAAATGAAATCATCGGACATCTGCTATGTATTGCCGTACCTGTTCTGATTTGATTCCTTAGGCGCACCTCCGAGATGAAGAGGATATCTGAGTGACAACTAACTCCAATTTATTGAAAATACCAACAAAATATTTAATCACTATCTGTTGCATCATAGTAAAAAAACGACGTTTATCTCTGACTTCAAATTGCAGAACAAGCGCTTACGTTGTTTCAGTTAAATCACGTACTACACATAAAAATAAGTATATTGCAATTATTTTTTATACTAATTATGCATCAAAATATGATAATTTATGAAGTTTTAGAAAATACTTTATTTCTGAAATAACAATGTAATAATAACATCGGTAATGAATACTGCAACTGACAACAAATATTTTATAAACGATGTCATTCCTTTACCTAATGATTATCAGATATTTTTCAAAATTATTTTTTAATGTTTTCAGATCATTTTTTGAGTTTTTAAAGAGAAATTTTAATCAATTTAAATACAGGACATATCGATTTCTTTATAAAGATTTTCTTTAAAAGGGATATTTAATATTCATTTTATCTAGCTTTTATATCTGTGGGAGTGTATATATTTTAGGATGATGGACGGGCTGGCGAGGTCTTTCACCCTCTGGATATAGTCGAAGTGTATAGGGCAAGAGTGGTCTTCTCCGAGGGGCCCATTTGCAAAAGGAACTTTACGAGTGGGCAGGTTATGTAGGGCGAAGTGGCGAGTGATGGGCCGACAAGGGTCCACAATCAGGGTTATGGCCCCCCGCCCTTTTCTTTCTTGAATAAAGATGACATCATCCAGAATATGGCCTTTTGAGGGATTTCTCCTAATCGACTAATCGAGTCTGAAAAACGGGTTCCGTGTACCTTTTCATAATGTTCTGGACTGCGAGAGTATAAGGTGGCAGCAATACGGTTTAGGAAGATGATGATGGTAGATCTCTAGCGGATCTAGGATTTAATTTAGGGGGGGGGAAGAGGACTTCAGCCCGAAAGCTTTTTTTTCATAAAAATGATGATAATTACTTTGGAAAAACAGAAAAAAACTGTCTATATGAAATGGTGTGTAAGAATGTATGTCCTTTTAAATGTAATTACACGAACATTAATACTTTAAGAGATTTTTTTTCCATAAAACATGGTTATATTTTACGATTTTGGAGAGAGGGGAGGGCTTCAGCACGAAAATCCTCCCCTCCCCCCGTATATCCGCCCGTGTGATAGATCCAAGGCTGAATGGTGATTAATCTGACTTATATTAAGCAATAAAAACTGTATACAAGGACGTAGATGCATGGCTATATTTTAACATTTTAAAAGAAACTAATTACTTAAAAAGATCACATTCCATTTTTAAGAAATTTATTCTGGGACATTTAATCCCCTCAGAATAACGATAATGAACAAAGGAATGACAGTTGTCTGGCGATTATGAATAATTAAATGGCAATTAAAAATAAATTAATTTACAAAATTGTCTAACTTTAATATTAAAATAAAGAAAAGACAATGGTAAACGTATGATCTTGAAGTAGACATATGAATTTAAAGATGAATACATACGGGTGAGTTTACGTATTTGTACAAATAAGCAATATGACACATAGGTAGGTATCTGCAAAATATCGGTATAATGTAGCTGACATCTTTAACGTGCAAAATAACTTTATTTTTACATATATTCGGAAGATTGATTACTGAGGAGATGGAAAAATATATTGTGTTTAAATGAATTCAAGGAAGAGGATTTCCGTATAGAGGTTGGGAGGGTTATAGAGGTATTGGTGTTGATATATAACAAATATCTTCAACATTATATTTTTAAATTATTCCTCTCCTTGCAAAATCATGCTTATAACACCCTTATTTTTTGTACATTTCGGGATAGACTGGGAATGCTTCTACATCTAAGAGCATGAGTCAGGGATCCGAATAGCCGCTTTGCCTAGGGGAGAAAAGTGTGTTTCTTTGTCGCGTGATAAAACAGAAACAGGGAGACAGTATAAGCATGACCCTCGGCTCTGTATTTATGCTCACTTCTGTATACGGGGATTTCAGGGACCCCACGCTTCCCTTCTGGTCCACTGATGTCATTGGTAGTTCCCTTCCTCGGCCTTATTGATATTCTTCGGCTCACTGGAGAAATTGGATATTTTTAAAGCCTATACTTTGAAAGGTTTACCAAGATTGCGATGCATGCGTATCGCAAACATTGGAAGAAGTTGGAATAGATAGCTATGTAGAGGCATCAATCAAGAGAAACGATTGTTGACAGTTGCTTGAGCAAGTCAATCTCTATAATAATTAAAAACACTCAGCAAATACAATCTTGTTAGTAAGTAGAATATAATTTTTGAACAGTTTGCTATACCAGTTACTAACTGGTTTAGGTTGAAAAATAACAACTATAAACTAACAAGAAATGTGTTATTTCTAGACCGAAGCTATATAAAGTATATCCTTTAACTACAGATGGGCTAGTATCTATGACATTTTGTTATGGATAATAACCTAATAACTGTTACTTAGCTGCATTAGATTAAGCCTCCCCACATATCCTGAAACATTATAAAATGACATTGCAAAGTACTGTTTTAAAAAATTGATTTACATGTTTAATTTTGTTAACATATTATAAAATTTATAA